CCCTGGAATACACAGACATGATTATGAGACAATGAGTATGAGGAGGAGGAGAAGCTTTGTTTCCATGTAAAAGTCACAGATTAGTAATAGAGAAACAGCAGAAACCAGGCATCTTACCAAAGAATGTGTTGMAAAATGAACCTTTCTTCACGAGACAGCTCAGCCCAAAATCAATAAGGCGAACCCTTGGGACACTTGGGCCCGTCTCAATCAGGATATTTTGAGGTTTGATGTCCCGGTGAAAGATGGAGTTCTTCTCCAGTGCAATCGCCGCGTCCACCAGCTGCTTCATTATGTTCTGGGAGACAGAGACAGACAACAGTTTGACATTTTTCATGGCTGTGACTCTGTACAACTGTTTCCATAACATGGAGCTTCCATGAATGTGATCTTGAAATAACTATAAGGTCTTGTTCCTGGGAGTGGCTGCATGTTTCCACTGTGTCTTAGATACATGACACTTAAAAGGTGGCACTACTTTAAATACCAGGAGTGTAAAGTGTGGTTCAGTCGTGTGACAGGCAAAAAAGAGAAAAGGTTGAATTTTCCTCCATGTTGACAAGTAATGAGTTTATAATGTCAGTCAGAGGGGATCGTAGAGATGCACTTTGAATAGGATCTTCCAGCAGCTTACCTTGGCCTTATTCCCCTGTAGAGAGCCATTGTTGAGGTTTATATATCTTAAGAGGTCGATGGCAGGGACAGGTCTCTCCATTACCACGACCAGTTCATGTCCCAGGTCATACCAGTCCACTAATAATACTGGTGCTGACATCCCCATGGACGAATCTGTCATTGCTGTTAGTTTTTGCATTATTGCTACCTCTGTAGGGAGCTTCTCTCCATTCAGGCACTGAAAAGTCACAAGAATTCATTCATCAATACATTCAGAAAGTGAATGAGGTGATAGTTACAGTGGAGTAGTTGGTGCTGGTCAATTACCACTTGTTTGCAGAAAAGTTTATCCTGTGGTATGTGCTTGATCGCCACCTATAAGACAACAACACAAGTTTGGTTATCACTTTCTGGCCCAATTGTGTGTGTGTGTGTGTGTGTGTGTCTATGTGTGGATGTGCGTTACTTACCGGCTTAAGATCTGCTTTGCGGTAGCCAGCAAACACTGATCCACAGCCTCCTGCACCAAGCTGACCCAGCACCCAGTATTTGGCCTCAAGTTCAGCTACACAGACACAAATATTTTGTTTTACTTTAAATACACGTGACCTAATGTGGCTCATTAATCTTTATTAATCTATTAATTACTTCCTGCTCACCATTTGGGTCGTCTCCTGAGGCATCCAGGGTCTTCATTTCAACAGCCCTCATCTTTTTTTCTCTCTCTTCCTTGCCTTCATCATTTCTGTCTTTCCTTTTCCTTCCTCTCAGCTTGCCAACCTCCTCAGAGGGTACACCTGCAAATGAGAAAGTCACAATCATCACTTTGTCATGATTGAGCTACAAACTGAAACAATGGCCACTTTATCTGATCAATAACATTGGTGAAAGCAGGTTTTTGCCTGAATTTACTCACCTTGATGTTCCTTGAGGACTTTATCATGGAGAGGATTCATCTTGGAGAAGTCAGCACATACTATGACAAGAAGTTCAAATCACAAATCAATTCAACATTTGTAGAGACATCTCTTGGACTTGTGTATGCTCCTATGTGACTGATATGTGTAGTTTTTCTTTTTTTTGGCTTATGCCTGTGGCAAACCAACACTTTATGTATTTGCCTGTGATCATAATGTGCGGGGGCCCATGTGATTTTAAATAAAAGCATCAGATGACTGTACCTAAAACATAATAATTGTATTGTAAATGATGTGCCTTACATGTATCAAGAGTCTATACCATTCTTTAATAACTGTGTATATTAAGTGTATTTTTCTTTTCCTGGTTTAGTACTTAGCATCGAGACAGTAAGATAAGGGTCTTTAAGTTAATGAATTAAAGGTACAGCATAATAGTTGTTGTGGAAAATCTGCTGATCAGTGGTCAACTCATCTATGAAGAAAGGGTTGAGGAGACCTTTGATGTCTTATGCTGAAATATTTATTGAAGCTTGGCCAAGGAGAATTGCACTATGCCCCAAAGAGGACAAGAGACAGTGTCTATGACAATTCCATAACAATAGTGTGTTTGATTTTTGTTAATTGTATGAAACAAACCTTGTTTAACAACCCTGTGCCCTAATATGCAATATTGTTGACTTTGCAACAGGGTTGTAATGGCTTCTATTGCCACATATTTTTTGAATGAATCTTTTTATTTTGAACCTGTTTCTTTTCAGAGCACGCTGCCTGCTGGCTCTATGTTTCTCATGCACAGACGTACAGAGAAAAGCAAAGTTTGGAGAAGGGCGAGTTAGCTGCTCAATTTTTCAAAACGTGTTGTGATTTGAATATCAGTAACTAAGGTAAGTGCGACATTCATACTGCTACTAAAGCTCACACGGTGATTTGTGTAAACTTCAACTGAAAGAATTAAAAGTGATTCCTATCAAGTTAATTAACTCAACTAAATCATCTTTGTGTGGAATTTGTTCTCCTCGTGTAACATCTATTTCCTTTCAAATCAAGTGAATCCAAGTCAACTTATGAAACGGATCGTTCAACCAAACATTTAAATTCACTCATTATGTACTGACCACTGTGGCGATGGAGGGGTGGGAGAAGTGTTTGAGTCAACGACACACTTTAGGGTTCTCGGGGGTGGATGTGGATGTGACGGGGTACAGGTGTACGTCGTCCTGATTCGCAGGTCGATGACACGAAGAACAGATGTGGAGTGCGTGTCGCTTCACCTCAGATACACGGAGTTCATATGAGGGGTTCAACACACGTCTCTCTCGTCTCTGACGTCTGTGTCAACTGGTACTTTCACCACGATGTCCGCGTTTAGATCATGCACCTTTGGTTCCCACGGCAACCACTGTGGCTCGGTGACGTTCTGTGACTTGGATGATGCGTTTGTTGCCACTGATGTCTCTGTTCTGTTCTTTCGCATTAATATAGAAAAATGCTGTGGCTGATTTGAACCCAGGCTCCCTCTGCATCATGCAAATGCTCTGTGAAAATTGTCAACGTGACAATTTAGCATGACTGTCTTCCTGTGTCTGCATATCATTACACACACACACACACACACACACACACACACACACTCTATTTCCTTATTAACAAAACTAATCAAACTACTGGGTCAACAGAGAGGCAGGGTCAGATGGGACGTGACTATCCACTGGGACACTGGGATCATTCAGTTAAGCTGTAAGTTTCTCATTTGGTGTTATATATTTTGCATAGATGAGTTATTGTTGTTTATTAGTAATGAGAATAATGGGGTGTAAAATAGATTCTAGACCTTAGTAAGACTATTATATGGTCTTCGTTGCCCTTTACAGGTAATCTGAATGTGTCCTGGACGTCTTTACTGTTTCATGTGATCTGTCCTCTGTCCTCGTTCTCTGTGCAAATCTGTACCAGGCAGTTCTCTTCAAAATAAAGTTTTTACTCAAGCAAATACTGTTGCTTTTTAAACTAATAACTTTTTGAAACAGGATTTATCAAATGTTTAGATATATACTAAGCAGACCCAGGATACTCAGGAGTAAATGGAAAAATGCATTCACACTGATAAAGGCAATAAGCAGACAGCATCTTGTAAAAGCAGTAATTAAGATAGGGACAATAACAATAAGACATTACATAAAAGAATATCTGACTCTGAACACTTGGTGGAGAGCAGGCTGATCTGGTGTCAGTGACTTTAGTAAATATAAATTCCCACATCTACCTAAATCAAACCTTAAAATTAGACTTCAGCCAAAAGGCTTCCACTGTCATTTATACAGTGGTGCAATACAACAAAAGATACATCCCTCGTTCACCTACTGGCCAATTTTAATCATATATCTATTAATATAATTTATGTATAATGACAAAATAAGATGGTTTGGATAAATGATGCACATAAATAAATGATGAGAAAACAAGATTTCCCCCCAAAAGAAAAAAAATGACTCAGTGATTTAATTTAATAATAAAATTTGCATTTACATTTACAAATGCATTAAAAGCTTCTACATATTATTAATAAATACTAATGAGTCATCATATATATGGACAGTACGCAGTTAAATAGACATTAGAGACTTTGTCCTTTTCTACCAATGAGGACACTAATTTACAGAACATGAAATGAAGCAGATCAATAATAATTTGCTGCAATGCTGCTTTCTAGATGAGAGCCATTAAAACATTAGCTGTAATCTCAGAAAAACTGTGACAGTACAGGAAAGACACTGTTAGGAGCAGTCATCAGTCGCTGTGAGGTAGCACTGACATGTTAATAGAGTTAATGAAAGATTGGGACTGTTGTTTGCACTTTGCTCATTTTTATATGATACTAACATTTCTGTCTGTAACAGCATTCATTCTCAATGCTCTTATAGGTTAATACGTGAACATAAGGGATAAATCATGTCTGCCAGAGGATTTCAGTCAGTGTCGGGAACCTGTGAAAATAGATTTTCAAATATAAAATAATCACACACAAAAAAACTGCCGTTTTATCACAGATAAAGAGCTTAAACCCAGTGAGTCCCTCTTTACTGCAGCTGCTTGTTGTGTGCACGCTGGTGGAATTTAAGTCCCCCGCAGTTTCTGAACGACTTCCCACACTGTCCACAGATATACGGCTTCTCTCCAGTGTGGATACGGAAGTGCCTGGTTAATGCACCGGAGTGACGAAAGCACTTGGAGCAAACCGAGCAGGTGTATGGTCTCTCTCCTGTGTGTATGCGGAGGTGGGTCTTGAGGTTCTCCAGGCGGTTGAAGTCTCGGTTGCACTCTGTGCAGCGGAAGGGGCTGCAGCCCGGAGGGTAAAGCTGCAGTCTGGCCCTCTTCCTTCCAGCTGTGGGCGGCGGACAACGCTGCTGGAGCTTCTGCTGGCACTGGCCAGAGTGCCGTCGCAGCAAGCTGGGCAGGTGGAAGGACTGGCCGCAAAGCTTGCAGGCGTATATGTTGCCAATGGTGTGGCTGGTCCTCACGTGGACTCCATAAGTCTGTGGACGAACCTCTGGGATGGGAGCGGGTTCTTCCAGCTGGAAGATGGGAAACTCAGAGGAGAGGGAGGGAAGATCTGTGGGCAGTGGAAGGCCTGGGGTCATGTTTGGAGGATGTAAAAAACAACAAGCGTTTTAAAACTGTAGGAAAAACAGGACAAACTGTAGAAAAAGTACTTTTTTTATATAAATCTTTAACAATTTCCCAGAGAATAATTGGTGGATCTTGATGAAAAAAATTGGGCACATTTAGAGTCCAGATATCAATGAGTGTGTGAAGTTTGATGCAGCCTGATTGGATCCAAGGGGACTGTTGGTCCTTTTCAGAGGTATACGCTCTACTGAGTGCCAGTCTTGTTACAGAACTGTGTTATCATGTGTATCATTGTGTACTATCTGTTTTGTTGCTGTAGACAAACATTGTGTGATTGTTTCAGGCTGTCGCTGAGTTTACTCTTACCCTGAGACAGCTGGGTGTTCGGGTCTTGGCTCGGAGTATCCAGCACTTCTTGTTCCCACTCGGACACAGACTCCAGGCTAAAATCCTCCACTTTGATCGAGTCTAAGCAGCAAACTAAACTATCTCTATCCTCCTCTTCTTCTTCAGGTTTCTCCTGCTTTACTGTAATCTGCTCTAAAGTGGACATTGCATCATTGCTGGGGAGTGGAGCCACATGGTGAGCAGTTGAGTCCTGACACGGCTGCTTGATGCTTTCTGCCTTCACCACACTTACACAGGAAATTGCTTCAGTTACTTCAGTAAAACAAAAAAACACAGGATATCAGTGTAGCCAAATGGGAAATGATGATGCAATTAAAATGATCGTATTTTTGGGAAAATTATCAATCACGAGTCATATCCAAGAAAACAAGAACAAAGCACAAACAATAAATACTACTACTATACTATATAATACTAATAATACAAGTCAGGTAATATTTATTATATCTTTGCAATACTTGTACAGATTAAGATAAAGAGCAGCTGATTTGCACAAAACTAGAGCCATTGTGTATTTTTAATTTTCCATTCATCACTCTGTGCATGAATTGACTATTCTTTTTTTTCCCACTTTTCTTAATGTTCGCTGTATGTTTGTTTACGATGTAAGTATTTAATTTAGTCATTTAGAGCAATGCTACACCAGAGTCAAATCCCCTGTATGTGCACACATACTTTGCCAATAAATCTGATCCTGATGTATATATTTTAGTTTCTCTTCTCATTAGCTCATTTTTTTCCTTGATCCCTTTGGCAGGGGGGTACACTTTTATTTATTCATTACAGGTGTGCTTTCACCTAATTACTATTTTATGGTTTATGCTCTTTTCATCTTTAACTTGTATAGCACCTTGTGATTTGAAAGTTGCTACATAAGTCAAGTTTATTATTCACCTATTTTGTCATTAAATTAGGTTATTTTACCTGACTTAGACGGTCTTGTTTTACCATGAAAGCAAACTATAAATAAAGTTTTCAAACTATATATACGTACCACTGGTACATGCATTACTGAGGTCTCCCTCTGGCTCTGAAGCAGCATGAATGACGAGCTGCATCCTCACGTCCCCTGATCCCTGCTCCTCATGTCTGCTCTCAGGCTGCTGTGCACAGCTGTGACAGGCAGGGGGAGCCTCACCTGTGATCCCTCTACAGCTGTGCACACTGACCGCTGCTGGGCTGAATCTCGCTGGAGGTGGTTGATCAGTCAACGGGAGAGAGCCTGCAACTCTCTCCAGGACGCACGCAGGCTCCAACATGGCTTCAGCTCTCTGCAGCCTCCGCCTGAGGGACTCGTTCTCGCGTCGCATGTCCTCGAACATGTCTCCCGTCGTCTGACCCACCAGCTTCTTCACCTCGCTGACTGCGATCTGCACAGCCACTTCGAAAGCTGCGTGTATGGCCGCAACTAGCTCCTCTTCCAGGGACAGAGCGGCCTCATCTCCGGCTGCTTGTGTCGCGGAGGAGCGTCTCCTGGCCCCGGTAAGCTGCGGCTTCATGGTGCATTCAAAGACACATTAGCTGGATCCAGAAAACTATCACCGGCTGAGAAAGCTCCTTACAGATGATCTCTGTTGTGACTATCCTGAACAGACGCTGCAGCGAGTTCATCAGATATAGGGTTTCACTTCCGCCTACAGTTTCTGACATCTACTGGTCCACAGGGTGAACTGCAGCATTTAATACAATAATAAAAAGACGAGTTAAATTGAGAAACTTGATTTTATTGTATAAACATAACCTCACACAAAGGTTCAAATGACACATAACAGCAGACACGTGGTTTTCACAGGTAAAGACCATGCTTTCAAGGCCGCATTCGTCACTTCCGGGTTTTGTAGTCTTCCAAGTTCGCCAGCACCCAACCAGAGGGCACGAGCATTGTCAGAGTCAGCACAGTCAGCGCGAACACAGACTCCTGAGGGTCAGTCATGTCAGAAACTTCAGCCAGCACTAAACTTTTTAAAACATCTTGAGTTTTAAATGTACATATCAAAACATTTTCAAAGAAGGTTCTCATTTTATAAACTCACCACCGCACCGATGTTACTTTTAGGCGGTTTGCTGTGGATGTAAGCTGCTTTTTGTCGAATCATGACTCGTGCCCTCGGGAGAGAAGCCAGCGGAGGCCTAAGCAGTGCAGTGAGCAGCCCACACATGTTGGACTTCAGTAGAAAACCTCCTGCGTCCTCTGATGCAACACAAGTGACCTGCAGGCTGCTGGAGGGGAGACCTTAAACGCCACACACCTGCCCACTCATATAGGTTCAATTAGGTGGCCTTCAGGTGCAATGTAATGTTGGGAATTATGGCTCTTTGAAGGGAGCCTGATCTTGCAAAGTTGTTATCTTGCAAAATAACCACTAGATAATGATGATTTATTGATTTTGATCAGATTTTAACTAGATATCCCACCAATATAATTCCTTCTTGCATGTGTGGTTTAGCAGCACTAAATTACTGGTATTGCCAGACCTAATGTCAATAATCTGCATTGTGAACAATACACAAGGTGATGTAATATATACTTCTGCTTTATCAGTGTGTTTACTTTACTTTGAATGTATGAAATGTGTTGTGTTAAAAATGTTGCCTTGTCTCGAATGCAGCTCATGCACGAGTGTCTGTTTAAACTAGGCCTCATGTTGTGTGTTTGATGGTGTATTCAGTTTGTTTTTCTGTCTTTTTACCTGCAGACTGGCTCTTAGCTGTGAGCACCTGGACGCTTATATCATTAATGGATTACTCTTTGATTATTCCTTTACCTCCTCACGTGGCTCCACACACCATGGGGCTCTGGTTGGAAGTGGGTCGGCTCAGCATTAGTGGCTATGAAGGTTACAGTCTGCGTGCTGCTGCAGTAATTCGGTCTGTTTGCCTGTTGTTGGAGTTGGTTTCACTCAAACTACAGCGGGAAAGGTAAGCACTCTCAACTGAGATTGTATTTTAAATCATTTTGAATTTTCAGGAGGTTATATTTTCACGCCTGTATTTGTTTGTTGGTTGGTTCATGTGTTTGTTTATAAGGAAGATTACACAAAAACAACTGAATGGATTAGCATGAAACTTGGCAGAAGTATGTGGACTGTTTCAGCAAGGAACCCATTACATTTTTGTGAATCCCAATCAGGGGATGGATCCAGGATTTTTTACTTTCTTTAACACTGTGAGATAGAACATTTTCTTGTAGTAGTAGGAATTGATTTAACAGAAGTAGGCAACAGTTTGGTTTCTATTTAATTTCCTATTTTTGCATATAGCAATTCTGTCTGGTTATAAAACCTGTCTCCAAAAGGTCAGTTTCCCTGTTAAGCTCATTTGGATTTTATTTGCCTAGATTTTCCATCAGTTAACCTCTGAAAACATGGCTTAATTTCATTATCAAGGCAAAAGGGTTTTTTTTGTAATTTGAACTTGAACTGTGATCTCTTCAGTTTGACCACTTTGGTCTCTGTCCTTTTTGTTCCCTTTCCAGTTTACCTGTCTTTCCCCCTCCTCGTCTTCTCCCCTGAAATTATCCTCCAGTTCCTTATTTCACCACCTGGAAGCTCTCTCAACATGGCCGAGGCCCCAGCATTCATTGATGATGGTCTGCCTGTGCAGTGGAATAATTCCATTCGACCCACCAGGAAGCTTGGATGCTCCAATATCTTTTCAGGGGTCAACATGCATCAACTGCGCAGGCTGTTCAGAACAGCAGGAGACAAAGATGCTAAGCAACGAGCGAAGCTGGTGTGGCGTGGAATGGATGCAGATATGGAGGGAGCAGAGGAGAGGACAGTGAGGGACGAGATTGAGGACGAGGCAGGACTCGCCCGGGCCTTGGTGGGGCTCAGAGTCCGAACAAGGAATAGAGCCGGCATCAAAGTGGAAGGACACAAAGACCACAAGTGGCTCAGAGCCTCAGGATATCTCAGGTCAGTGTCAAATGGCAAGAGGCCTGAAAAAAGTAAAGAAAACATGTGAAAAGTGATGTGTAGACGAGGAGTTAAATAATAAATGAGAGATACGGTCTTAATACATAAGTTTGAGTGGTGAAGTAGATCTCTGTTCTTTTTACTCTTTAATAACAAAAAATGCTGTATTAGTTGACCTTCTTTAAGTTGAAGGCTGTGGATAATTTAAATCCAGACTCCCTCTGCATCATAAAATACCATGTGTAGGTGTCATGTGCCTCACTAACTCAGCATGACCTCACAAGAGCGTGTCTTCCTCCCTCTGCATACCAATACACACACACACACACACGTACACACAGTCTCTCCTTCTCTCTCTCTTTCAGCATTCCTCACTTAGACAGAATTAGATTTGTTGGAGGAGTAATGAAAAGCCTCAGAATGGGAAAATGGTGGGGTGAGTCTGCACAGTGGTGTGGTAATAACAAAATGGTGTACAGCAACAATGTTCAGTCATGAGGCTGGTTGGTCCACCACTGTGATCCTGACTAGCTTAACATCTATTGGATGCCAATTCATTTTTTCCGTTCATGGCCCCAAACAGCTTTTGTGTGATTTTTCCTCTTGTGCCACCATGAAGTTTGCACATTTGGTTTTGTGATATGTCTCAACCCGAGGAAGGTTGGCAGGAAATGTGGTTCAAATATTCATGTCCTGCTCAGGAAGAGCTTTGTTGTTGTAAGTTTTCATCTCATTCCATCATCAGCTCAAAACTTTAGGGAGGTAGAGACACGAGTAATCTATGTATTCCTCAGGACAGCCACAACTGCCTGAGTAAAGTTCATGTTGATTGTTAACAATTTCACTTCCAGGTCTGATGAGTAGCAGACCTCAATCATTAACAAGTTGACACAACAGCATTTTATGTGGCAAGGTAAGGCTATTGATAGGTAGTCTAAAATGCTCAAAGTATACCACAAAGTCTTCTCTGTGTTCCAGGCCTGAGGAGCTGTTATCAGACTGCTCTGTCGAGGATGAAGAGACTGCTTTGGCGCCAAGTCCGGAAGAATTCCTGGTGGCTGCTCAGGAAGATATCCCAGAAAACCAAAATCCCTTCAAACCTTCCTCATGGAGGTTGGGTTCGGCCAGGCAGGACAGTGCTCAAGACTCTAAGCGATACCTTCACCGCATCCTCCACTAAAAGCTGCCTGGAGTTTGAAATAACACAAAAGGGAGGAAATGGGATGAAGTTCTGAATAAGGACTGATAATGTGTGAAAGTTCACAATTTATACCTTTCTGCTAACATGTACTCTACATAAAGTCTGGTAAACCTCCAGTGGGATTAGTCCAATGCTTATAGGTAAAACAAATGCACTCCCTTTCCGCTGTTAGATCTCCACAAACCCCTGAGGAAATATTTGGCTCTTTAGCTAATGAATGCTCCACTTTCTTCACCAGCCACGATGTGTTTGTGTGTGTGTGTGCGTGTGTGCGTGTCTGCCATTCTGTGCTGACTTTGCCAGAGCTTTTTCCACTGAAAACCACTGCCTGTAGCGGCTGGAAATAAAGCTGATGAGAGCTGTGAGAAAGAACCAAAATAGTAACGTAAAACCAAAACATATCAGCTAGAAGGAACTGCAGTCAGGTGATAATTCTTTGTGGATTCATCAATACAAGCAGCCCCTCTCACAAACACCGTCTGTATTCACTTGATCCATTTGTATTATACCATTGATCACAGCAACTGTAAAAGGTGATTGACTGTAAGAATAATTGATAACATGTCTAACATGTCTATCTGCAGCTGTAATTATAAGCAATATACATGAACAGTAAAGCAAAAGTGTGTCGAATTATTCTACAACATACATATTTGGGTTTTGTCACTTCTCATTTACAAACACACAAAGTGATCTGTCTCAATGCAGTAGGTTTTAATTATAATCTATCATTAAATATTACATACAAATTATACAGTGCATTGTCACATTACATTTCTTGTCAGTTCAGCACAGCAGGAAGTTACTTTGTTGTTTCGGTCCACCTCACGAGCAGTAAAATTAACACAAATCAATGTGACCCAGGCAAACGGGAGCTTGTGGTCTGAGAATCGGCACCAACCACCCTTCGCCTGCTTGTAGACGAGATCATCATGTGTTATTCTCCTATGATTTAAATCATCAGTTGGAAGGGACAAATTAGGTGATCCAGTCATACTAATCTGATTTTAAACAGTTTTTTTCTTTGCCTCCGCTTTTCATTATCACCCGAGGTGATTTACAGATCCTAATCTAGACGGTTAGGAGGAGCAATGAACAAGTGTGAAACCAGTTCACGTGGCTTATGTTCACTGTGTAAAGACACCCCAAAATCTTTACCATAACATTTCTCTTATTTGTTAAAAATTAAAAATCTCTGATACTATGTAGTGGCTTTGACGCTTCCAGCCCTGTGTTTTAACTGCATGGGAAAGACAATGCAAGTGAATATTAAAAAGGCAGATGGGTATAGAGAAAAGAAAAACATGGAATGCAACACCTCTCATCCAGTAAGTATTAGAGGCTTCTGACTGACGCACATGTGTGTGAGCAAACCTTAGTTGCACCCAGGAGTCCAACAAAAAAGTCTTGCTGAAAACGTTTCTTCACGAAGGAAGCTACAGAATCATTTAGGCGTGAATTCTTCACTGACATCCACAACAAGGCACAAGGCAAACAGGGAAGAAATGTGAGATTCTTCCTCTTTTGGCCTCATCTCTCCACCCTCTCTCAACCAAACCAAAATATCCTTACGTTCGGGGGGAAGGTGATGATAATATCCATTTTCAGGACAAAAACCTGTCCCTCCAGCGGCACATCTCCCTCCTTGCCCCTCTTCGGCTTCCTGCTGTTCCTTCTCTTCCTTTCTGCTGCTCCGTTCCTACCACCAGGTGAAGAAGGGTCTTCTGCTTTGGAAACTCTGTGTGTAGGACTCACTGTTGGCTCTCTGAGGTGCTCTGGCTGTTTCGACAATTACTGGGGGCATCTGGACCAACTGGAGGGGCGTTTTACCGTCCTTCAGGGCTTGGCACAGGTTCAGGATCTTGAGAGAGAATGAAAAGGGAGACAGAAAAAAGAAGTGCTAGTAACTTTACATTTCAAGAGTAATACTCCAGTTTTAGATTTTATTTTCTAGATCAATGTTTTTACAAAAGATAGGAGAAAACTCACTTGTCCCCTCATCACGGCTACTTGTCTATGAAACTGTCCTCTGTCAAAACCAGGATCTTTCTGCAAGACACAGCGTACAAGACATGCATCTTCAATCAATCAGATCTTATTTGATTAGCACCTTTTATACAAAAAAAGCAATAAACCATCCACATATGGAGTAAAACAATATTGACAGGAACTGAAGAAACGCAGGAGTAAATAAAATAATTAAGATAAAACAATTCAATTGAATGGATGGATTAATGATTGTTATGTCTGTATGTGTTTCATTGACAGAGTGAAGTGAGTTGTGCCACTGAAGCAGAAACCTCATCCCTCTCTGACTACCATTTTCTCATCCAGAGCAGCTGTGTGTGAGGAGGAGGACGATTTGCTCCACGTGCCTTTAAACACACCATGTTTCTCCTTCCATTTTAACACTGTTGTGGTGGGAGAGGGTTTTTGTATCATTCTTGTATATTATTTTTAAAGAGATTTAATACAGAACAAACTATATACCACTGTCCCACTGTAAAGTCCTCCACATATATTTGCATTCAGACATCTCTTATTGCTGTGATCACTGGATTTTCAAACACTGTTTCACTCTCTTTTTTATCTCTGTCACTGAAAATGTTGTCAATTGACAACTGTGTGTTGTCACTGTTCACTGCTATTGTGAAAGTAACACCCATGATAGCTCACTTCATTACTGATCACTATGTCCTCTATAGTTAACATACGTAAGCCATATCACTTTTTTAGGGGATTTCACATTTAAATCTAAAGTCCAGACTAAGACTCTGTAGATGACACTGCACACATTTTTGTGTTAAGTTTTATAAAAGTGTGTGTCTGCCTGGACACAGACACCAATGTCAGATGAAAACAGCAACACTGTTCACTAATTGTAAACACTGGAGAGAAGATGACTGGCCTCTGCTGAAGGCCCTCAGTGAATGGTTGCAACTCACAAAGAAAATATACCTCAGTAGTGAACACTGGCAAACCCTGGGTCTCTACAGTGGAGCTTTGTGTTTGAGACTGCTGCAGCCTCTAGACAGTCTACTGTCTCCTCACACAGTGTCAGACTAAACGCTGTGCACAGAGGAACATACTGTGCAGAATTTCTATCTCAGCTGTGGCGTCAAATCAAACATTAAATTGTTGCATGAAATGTTAATGCAGGGGATTAAACTTAAAAAATAAATTCTCATGACGAGTCCTTAAATGAAAGCGTCCTTTTCAACATTTTTACTGGATAAAACGCGATAAGACTGGAGAAGTAAACAAACCACTGGAAATGACCATGTAGAAACACTGACGGCTACTTGTATCTGATAATGGATAAAGTCCAACACTGACAATATTTCAAGAAACACTGGAATAGGTTAGATTGTATGTTGCTAACTGGAAAGAATGCTGGTGAGGCAATAAATGGCTTATATCATTTCAGTGCACGCCCAATCATTTGTCTAAAACGGTACATCTCAGCTCAGAGGCAACTCTGTGAAACTGCATGTATTTATGCAAAATTAGATAAGATACACTGGACTCTTCCATGTTTTTCTGTGGGGGTTTTGAATACTTTCACTTTTTTGTGCCTATTCAATTAAGTATACCCACTCATAACTTTTCATACAACTGACTTGTAAATTGTTTTTCTTTCTGTTATAATTTCTTGTTTTAAAAGCTTTCACCTTACTTACTCAAACCACCATCTATATGTTGCGTTTGTCAAAATTTGTTTTCAAATCCATATTCCCTATGTAAATGCATTCAGAAGAAAAAATAGTGTATTTCCAATGTAAAATCAACATTATAGGAATATAGGATGAACAGCTTTCAGACAAAAGTTTTTTGAATTTGTCGTAATATGAATACTATAATGTTTTGAGTATAATTATTATGACTTCAGTGGGTATAGTGTACTATTTCAGCTTATTTATAATGCACCAGCTAGCATAATGAAACCACTGTAGCACTTTTTGCACTGTATATACGCAATGAACTGCTTCTGCTCTGTCCAGTGCACCAGATTGGTTTCACATACTCTGGTAGAATTGCATTGCATGTAACTGTATAGCTTCATTTTGTTACTACCAATGCTCATTTTTATGTGATGTGTTTTATGTAATTGTTTTTATAGTTCTTTTTTGGTTGTTGTTTTATCAATAATATATTAACTTTTCGCTATTGGAGCCCAGAAATGATTGATAAGCAAGAGAAGACACACATTTTATTTCTAATTTTAGCACTGTTTGTTATGAGAAAATGCCATGACACTAAAATGTATTTTAATATCACTACTTTTACTTTTAAGCCTATTTTAGCGCTACATTTTCAAAGCATTTTGTCAAAAAAAATATGCTGTAATACTATGATTGCATGTAGTAAATAAATTTGTGATTGATCTTTGTGTTTGATTGTCAACCTGGTTTGAGCTGGAGGCCAGTTGTTCACTTTGTCCAATAGATGGCAGCAGAGTATTTATGAACAGTAGAACGTGTGTGTGTGTGTGTGTGTGTGTGTCTGTGTGTGTGTGTGTGTGTGTGTGTGTGTGTGTGTGTGTGTGTGTTGAAAATTCGAAGCCAGTTGTTCACTTTGTCCAATAGATGGCAGCAGAATATTTATGAACAGTAGATGTGTGTGTCTAATTAACGTAATTGGTCAAATTGAACCAAATACATTTATTGAATTACTTAACAATTAAATTATTAAATGTATTTGATTATATTCAAGTCATTCAATTGAAGGGTTAGGTTGAGGGGTTTAGTAAAGTTTAATCAAATGAATGCAATATAGTATATTCAACTTTATTAGATACACTTAAGAACTTGATTCAATTGAGAACATTTTCAAAATATTGAAACCATAGTGTGTATATGAAGAGATTGAAACCTGAGCCTGTGGTGCGGAGCAGAAGCCTGACAGACTAAACCGAGGGTAATAAAGACCCAAACAGTCACGTAACCCCGCTACGTCATGACGACACCCGGAAGAGATAATCAGTACGTGTCCTTCTCAGCCTGAATCGTTGATACCGGAGCTCGACTCTACCACAGAATGGTGAGACTGATCTGGTTGATGTTGTTTCTATGATGTACACTATGTATATATATAAATATGTTTGTATCGTACAGAGATGTATGGTTTTAATCTCGTGACTAAAACATGGCGCTGCCTGTGTGAAGCAGAGTTGTGGGGATCGTTTCACATCGCTTCGGCCTCTCCATTAAAACTGCAGCAGTCAGTTCTCCAGCAGTGATCGGAGGCTGCACACTGTGGACTCCGTCTGCGGAGGCTGCTTGTTGTGGTGTTTTCTCTCTAACAGGCCTGTTCCTCCTCTCTCTGTCTCTGCAGGAACTCGAGGCCATGACCAGATACACCAGCCCGGTGAACCCGGCTGTGTTCCCCCACCTCACTGTGGTGCTGCTGGCCATCGGCATGTTCTTCACCGCCTGGTTCTTCGTGTATCCTTCCGCTTCTCCCTCCACACCACACTCTGCGTGGGGTTATTACATCAGGAGTCATACTACAGATTATCGTATCAATAATAACCTGCAGGTAGACACAAGTACCTGAGTTACTTGAAGGGATAGTTCACCCAAAAATGAAAATTCACTCACCACCCACTCACCAGTATGCTGAAGGTGGGGTGGGTGAAGTGTTTGAGTCCACTAAACGCTTTTGGAGTTTCAGGGGGAAACAGTGTTTCAAGTTAAATTCAAAAGGGTTTTTTTTACGTTTGAAGAAGTGGTCGCTATTCACTTCAGTTGTATTGGATTTGGCTGCAACACTGTTTACCCCAGAGACTGTGGACCCAAGCACTTCATCCACCCCTCCATCAGCATATTGGTGAGTAGATAATGAGTGAATTTTGATTTTTAGGTATCCCTCGAAGGGTCATGTATTAGCAAAAGCACTGATACCATTGCTTTACATTATTGCTGCAACTAGAGCTGAGCATTCAAATAATATTCATCAATGGTAATATAACAGTTCTAACATATATTGACATATTGTATATTCATAGTGCAAGCACAGTAAGAAGGAACAAGAGTTTAAAACCACAACCTTCACTCAGGAGCAGAGTCAGACTTTACACCAAAAAAAAAAAGATATTGTGACATTTATCATAATAATTATTGATACTGACTCATGTCATATTTTTATTTTGATATCATTTTTGGCAGCATCGTTCAGCCCTAGCTTTTACTGACTATTCATTTCACTATAGATGAATGTGTCGGTTACCTTTCAAATGTTTGCATAACTGCTTTGTGTATTATCTAAGAATAGCGGGAAACTGTCATGTTCTGTCCAACCATAATAGAACAGAGGACAGCAGCATGTCTTTACACCGGAGAAGCTGAAATTAGAGAACATTTGGAAGGTTTGCTTGAAAAAATTACAGACACAATCTGTCAGTTATGAAAATCGCTGCTGATACATTTTCATCAGTTCATTTGATAGCGTTGCAGCTCCACTTCACATCACTGTTGTCCAAACCTGTCGGAATGGTCATTTCACGGATTTCCCACCGCTGCCAATGGCTCAAGTTCTCAAACCATAAAATTTTAGATGTTAATGTTAGTTAAAAACTTCCAAACACCCACTGGTTTCCACTAATTTGAGAAAACCTAAAGGATAACTTGGGTTTATTACAACTGGTGCTTATTTTCATATTTTAGGCCATTTTAGTGGAAAACTGTAAAGTGTGGACCGCACCTTTTTAATACAAAAGTTTAGTTTAGGTTCAACAGGTTTATACTTTGTTTCCTGCAGTACTGCTACCTTTAGATATTTGTGGTTTTGGCAACGCCGATCTTGTGATTTTTTTAACCATAATTTTTAGACCACCGAACATGAGCCTCTACAATAACAATATTAATTACATTGTACTCGCTGAGGATGCCAGGAACTTTGAGACAGTTGTAAAAAGAGTACAGTGGGACAAGAAAAACAAGCAGATATTTTAAACAAATCCCAGGTTCATCAAACTTAGTCAGAAAGACAAAACAGGTGATCAAATTGTTGCACAAGCTGTCAGTTGTGAACATCCACACATGACAGTTTGCAAACCGTCTTTCTGCTTTAAGGTATGGAACTTGTCAGAAGAATGTCTTTGCTAGTTTCCTTTGCAATAAGACATTTTGCGTGCATTCACTTTTGGTTATATCGCCAAACATAAGGGCTCATTATGGCTAAACGCTGGGAGAAATCGTAACTCATTTCATGCATAAAAAAGCTACAAAGTATTTCTGAATCAAAGGTGACATGATGTGGTATTGTGGTATTTGACCATGTTGCAGCACCATGATCAAAATGTAAAGCAGAGTTTTCAACAGTGTTCAATCTGTGATTGGAACCAAAACAAAATAAAATTCAGTAATATTTTTTATGCCTTAAATGGCTTGTTTACATTGATTATATTAGTAAAACTTTAAAATTGTCTTTTTCTATTATGGATTAACAAAATGCAAATTTTTCATCTGCATTGTCAGTGTGCCCTTTTCAATACTGAGTCACGTAAATGTCATTAAATAATACAGGATGACAGTATACACATTATACTGTAATACCACTGCAGACAAGTGTATGATAAGGTATCCTGCTGAAGGAGTAGAGCAGCTTCCCTTAACTTTTCATCAGCTATGAGGTGACTTCAACTAAATACACCAGGGACGTCTACAAAGAGCTGCTGATCTCCCTCGTTGCTTCACTTTTCATGGGCTTCGGTGTCTTGTTCTTGTTACTCTGGGTTGGCATCTACGTATGAAGGTACATTCAAATATTACGTCCAATGATTTTTATTTTTAATCACTATAAGTGTTGTTGTTATTAACTGCACTCCCTATTCTTTTCCTAGATTTTGACTGGCTTTATAATATGACACATTCCAGTGGAACTACGGGCATCACGAGCTGAATCTGGATTCAATTGGACTGCACTGATGATATTTTGGGGTCATATGGAGTCTGGTTTTGTTTTCACAAGTAAAGGGGATTTGTACAACTTTTTGTGCCTGTCTTTCTTAAGCCCAACAGCTGCAATGTTTGCGATCATTCTAAGCTCTTAGTGTCTTAAATGTTGAACAGTTTCACAAAGACCAAATCCAAAGTGCACTGCAACTGAACCTGCTGAGTTCTTGGGAATAGACAGGTATTTTGACCCACTAAAGACTGTTTACAGTGTTTCACTAGTAGAGCCTAAAACCTCAATCCCTGATTTATCTTTGCGTTAAAAATAGAACAGTCTCACCTTGTCTCCAGGATAATACTGACCACCTTAGAGATGAAGGATTACACCAGGATTACAGAAGGATTATTTATTAAAAACAGCGGGAACACAATTCAAATGGTCCCCACTCAAAGATGGCAGGTTTCCCATTATGGAAATTGGCTTATTTATCATGTAAACAGAACAAACTAGTCTTAAAAAAAAGGCAAAATAAACCACCTTGTTTCTTCCTTTGCAGTGGAATACAGCCTTTCCATCAGAACTATGATTGCATGTAGTTCTACATATAACTATAGTTTAATACAGATACTATTTCTGAACAGAGACAATTCTTTCAATGTGTTACACTGTCTACAACTCTAATTGATTTGCAAAGGCCACATAGATTATCACACTCAATCCAGATTAATACAACGCTGCATTTGCCATGGTCTGCCCGCTTGGCTACGAAGAACCAATTAACTCAAACTGTTAGACTTTGCTTCATCCTCTTAACCTGTAAAATTCAACATCAGCCAAATTGCTTTGTTAAGTAGTGTCAGGCTGTCCAAGTGTCAAATATAGAAGGAAAATAGTCCAAAATGCAGTGTAGCACATGGCGATGCTCAGTGTTACAACGTCTATAGTCTGTCCCTTTGTCATTGACGGGCTCTGGCGAAGGCGTCACGTAACCAGAGAGAGTCCTCGTACAGCCGGGGGTCTCCCATGTACTCTGCTGTGCGTTTGTATAAGTAGTAATACAACACTGCCGCTGATAACAGAGAGACAGACACATACTCAATGATTAAGGACAGAAAACTGATTAGCTGTAATGGAGAATGTTTGAATGAATTAAATCAACCAAATACCTGTTCTCTGGAAAACAAAAAGAGCTTCAAGACCATCAGTCCAAACAAAGCGGTTAGAGTCGAGCCATCTAAGATTCTAGAAGAAAATACATTCTAATCAGATTCAGTAAACTTCACAGTTACTCTGATATAGGACAGTCAATATTTTATAGCATCAATTTTAGTGCTATTTCACTCAGAATAGTGTTAAAGAGTTTTAGTGCTGGTGTGATGGAGCGTACCAACACCCAGCAGTGGAAGCAGATGCTGAGGGTCAGGTAAAGAGCGGAGAAGATCAGCAGAGCCCTGAACCTCTCCAGCAGCAGAGACACCAGGCCGACCTGGAACACGTAGGTGTTGAACATCATCAACAGGATGATGATCACGTTGAATAAGATGGCAATGTCCTGGATTCTGCAAGACATTGAACAGTTTATATTAAATATGGTGCACAACATACACGTGACCATGTCAGAGAGAAAGATGAAGTGCAAGTGTGATTTTTCTGGGTCCTGCATGAGTTCAGACTACTCACTCGAAATAATTGGATGTGTTTTCTTTCAAATCAAGGAAAGTTTAATAAATGTCATGCTAAATGACATGGCTACTGACAGAAGAAGCTTCTGAATTAAGTTGTACTGACTCAATAGCTTTGATGAATACACATACTGAAGGATGACAATAGACATGGCGGTTCTTGTAAACTCTTAAAATAGAAAGTGTTAAGACTTTCTTTAAGTTATGTAAAACTGCCTGTAATATGTGAACAATGTAAATCTCAGTAAATGTACAGATTAGCTCAATAAAAACAAACCATTGCATTCTTTATTTAGTTTTGGGTTAAATCAGGAGATTAAAGCCACAACTTCCATTATATTATAATTTATTGGATTGTTATCAATTCCTTGGTCAATTTTTGTATATCAATAAAAATAACTTTAAAACACCAATAGAAATGCATTTAAAAAAACATTGTGATAATATGATGCAAAGAAAAATGTACCACCTGAAGATGTAAGCAAACTATAGTGTATTTAATTGATGAATAACTGATTTAAATAATGAATTCCCTGGAATCTACTTCGTTGACGCACTGATAAATGAACTGATGTTTTGAACATGCAGCTGACTCACATGAACAGCACGAGCTGGATGACAGGCTCTCCCCTCAGAAGTTCACTGAAGGAGTTGACGAAGAGGTCATAGGCCAACAGCGAGAGCTGGATCAGCAGCACCAGTGAGTAGTTACCAGTCTGCAGCATCTTCAGGAGCCTGAGCCTGGAAAACCTCCAGGCTTCCCCGTCTCTCCTCCTCCTTCCCTCTCTTCACAGATCCCAAACACAGGAACTTGATGTCGGACAACTCTTCATACTTTGGTATGAAAACACTGCAGAGGTCCAGAAGCAGACACACACCACTGAGCAACAACTTGTCCAGTCACATAGTCAGAGAGTGGTGTGCTTTTCCATAAACACTCTCTTGCTTTATGTGTTATATACTCCAGGAAGATCCTCTGTTGAGAAACATGCTGTTTGTGTTCCTCAGGGATAAAAGATGCAGGAAGTCCTGGGCGTCACATTAACTGGGTTTGACCTCTTCAGCTGTTGCATGTCAACATCTTGGCTGTGGAAAGTCTCCTCATCTGCAGCAGGAAGAAAAGAGACACTGTGGTTACATCGTGAGATTGAAAAAGAAACATGGCTACATCTGTATCTACACCATTCCTCGCTGCTATGTTGTGTTCACTTGCAGCTCTGGCTTCTCCATTGTGTGCGTGTGTGTGTGTGTGTGTGTGGGTGAGGGGCTGATGTAACGTCTGTCTCAGACGGATAAATGAGCGGTAAACGTAACCATGTTACACAGGCAGCAGGCGTGGGAAGGTCATGGCTGGGATTAAGGATTAATTTGTCCTGTGTGGACTCCTCCAGTTGTTATTGCGTGACGCTAAAACTCTCGTTTTTACGCAACGTCTCTTCTACTGGCCTGTCGCTATTTACTCCTGGCTGCAGATAAACTAGAAGACGGCTGATAGTTAGTTCGGACTGTTAGTGTTAGTAACATATAACTCATGTACAGTGAACTCAACAAAGGCGGAGGCACAGATCTGGTTTTAACTTCGAGTTTCTCCCCTCACACGTTTTCTACGTTAACCACAACAACGCTGTTTGACTGCGTCCCGTTGCGTAAACATGCTCCAGGAATACGACTTAAATCACCTTTACTCACCAGAAACACGCGCAAGGGAGAAAACAAGTCACGTGGAGACAAACAGGATCCGTAAACTGTTCGTGTTTCTTCTTTTGCGACAAACAAACCGCGCAGTTTTCTCTGAGCATCCACCGCTGCCTCTCAGGCGCAACGTATTTCCGCAAGTTCCATGGTAACGCGTCTTCGTGATATTACCGTAATAGCCAATGTATGGGTTCTCTAGATATTCCTCAAAATGTAGCCCCAAGCTTAGAATGAATGTTATATGTTGAAGATGTATTGGTTGCATATTATTTTTCTAAATGTTAAAGAAAGTAGCTGTTATGGGAAAATGTAATAGCTAATAAACATTTGGAGGAGAAAAGAAAACCTCATTACCAATTAGACTAAACATAGAACTGCCCAGGTTTCCTCTGGTTCCCCAGATTGAACTCAACTTTTCAAATTGACATTTCAATCCTAGCTCTCATTTTTTTTCTTGTCTACTATTTGTTGTTTGCAAGTTAAGGTTTGACTTGTCTTTATTTTTTTTAATTAAATGTATATATTGTCAGCGTACAGCTTGCTCATATCCTTTTGCCATTTTGCCCATGCCTCTATCTGCAGTTTATAATTATAAAGTGCATGTGTTAAATATTTGGATTTGGTTTATGAAATGTTGATTTCCTGTCCTCTGTAACATGTGTTTACAGAAAAAGGAGATTAATCATTGGATTAACCTGTGTAATTTAATGTTGAATGATCAATTAAATTCATTTTAAAAAGGGGAAATGCATGTTGCCTGCTGCCAATTTATTTTAAGACGAGACTTGATGATCCTTCATTAGATCCACTATGGGGAAATTTGCCACCTTATAGCAACAACAGAGATATGAAAAATAAGAAACATCAGTAAAGGTACTGTAATTCATCAGTAAACATGCAATATAAACACAATGAAATATACAGAAAATATAATAGATATTACATTAAATTCTGATAGTAACTTTATTTATATAACACTTTTCAAAAAGCATTTAAAAAGTACTTCAAAAAGAGGACAAATAAAACAAGACAACAAAAACGGACAACAAGCAAATTAATGAGTAAAAGCCAATGCAAAGTAAACAGAATCCATAAAGTGTAAATGCAATATATAAAATGATGATAGAGCTGGATTGGAGACAGGAAGTTGAAGAAGGTTTTTTGAACACAGAGATGGATTATGGGCTGGCTTCATCCTCTCTGTGCATCGACCTGGTATTGCAGTACCTCCAGGAGCAATGCACCAGCACAGTGGAACAGCGGTAATGCAAGCTTCGGTTGCCACTCGCCAATAAACAGAATAAAGAAGAAGCATATAAGATGATCACTGATTGATTAAAATAACCAAAAGGTGTCATTTCTTGGTTTCTGTGTGTCTGGGGACTAATACAACTTTCATGTACAGTGGCTGCAGGTCAACAGGGGCCCAGTCTGCCTCTGAAGAGGTGGAAGAGTGCGAGCGAGCTACACCGATCATTACGGTACATGTCAGCAGCACGGGGTCGCTACTGCCACCCGGCGGCTGTGGCCGGTACTCGCTGTAGTGGCTGAGAGGACCGCGGTGTTGGGACACCTGCAGCAGCTCACGGTGAGTTCAAGCCTCCAAAAACTCCTCTCAACTCACACAGACATCTTAATGCGACTCAGTCCGATCCGCGGAGACACAACTGCAGTCTGTGTTCACTCTGAGCTCAGTGTCAGGCCGTGTAACAAGCGGCTGTGTGAGGGCTTCTCCTCCGTTAATATTGAATTCTCTCGTTATGTTCCGAGCAGCTTCATGTCGTCGTATTAACACATTGGAGACACCGTGGGACACCGTGGTGCGTTTGAGGATCTCATCTCACAGCCACTGCCCGTGTTTCTGTTGTACAGTGAAGACTGTGTTTGAATGTAGCATGTGTGGAGACTGGCGTTATTTATCACTGACAGCTTGACTGACAGCTTTGTGGCCCACGACATGTCGTAAAGTCACTTTCCTCGTGTCCTTGCCGCTGAATATTGCGTGACTGAGGTGTGTTTGCGTTTATTTGACCTTTGCGTGTCTGCTTGTTTATTTGGTGTCTCGTCTTGACACACAAAATCCTTAACGTGTAATGTTTTCACAAGACTAACACCGGGAAATCCCGCATATCTTTACGCTATGAGGAAGTTTTGGAGGCTCCACGAATCACCAGCAAGATGCTTCACTATCAGCACACACTTTTCATTTTAGGTTTTTATGCCTTGACAGATGGCAGGACTGGATATATAGAGAGGGGCTGGCTGTTCATTTAATACTGAGGCACAGTTCACTTTCTACTTTATCCCACTATGCTGCAAAGATAATGATCAAAAATACTCCTTTCTTTATTTTATAACGTTTTAACAATGCTCCAGAATATGTTACATGGATAGATAGATAAATATGTACTCTATTGATCCAAAATTGATAAATGATTGTGTATTGCACACAGAGACAGGTAGCAATAAAATAGATACGAAGACTTCAGATAGCTCAAAATAGAATGTGATAAAAGTTATGTATAAACGAATACGCAAGAGATTACAAAATGTCGATCAGAGACAAGTTTGCAAAATTGCAGTAGTTATTAGCATTTAAATACAGTACATAGGGACATGACTAAAATAAAATATGGGATGATTGCAGGGGTAAGCAGAGAGTTTTGGTGTGGACAGTAACTATACAGCTCTGTTTAAAACATAACAATCTAAATCACTAGCAATATAAAATACAGCACATGATCACACATGAACAGCAGCTGTGAAGAGGTGGGTTTTTAATTTACTTTTGACATGTGAAAGGTCTTATTTGTTTAGGGAGAGCATTTCAGAGGGAGAGGGCTGTAAATGAAGGCTCAGTGGCCCCAGGTCTGATGCATTGATTTGGAAACTCTGTTTAAATTAAAGGTACAGTGTGTAGAATGTAGTGATATATAGTGGTGAATTTGCATGTGGCAGCTGAACACCCCTCACCTCACCCTCTCCTTCCAAACAAGAAAAAGAACCAGTGGCAGCCAGTTCTCATAAAATCTCAAAAGGTGTTTAGTTTGTCCAGTCTGGACTAATGTAAAAAACATCGCGGCCTCTGGGAGAGGACCCCCTCGATGCTGAGGAGTTTCTTTGCAGCTACAGAAATGCCATTTAACCTGAAGACTGATTGTGTATGACGCGTGCATTTGTCACAAATCAGTGTTTTTTTAGCATCATGGCTACTGAGAGCAACATTTGTGTGTAATTGTTGGTAATTCTGACAATGCAAACAAATGCAAACGTTCATTTGCATCTCCTCGCTCCCGCAGCCATCCACCCTCCCCTTCAAGTACACAGTAACTCTTCTCACATGACACCATCCTGTTCTTTTGTGCTCTACACATCCTGGTGCACAGTCACGGACCCTTCTGGCTGCAAAGCTTTTATTAATATCTTCCTCATCTGAATAAAAAGTGAGGACAACCAACTCCAGTGTCTGAAGACAAGTGTCGTTGTCACAAATGGTGTCCCTTGCATATGTCGACATTTTTTATATAAAAACATGTTCATTTCCATCGTTTTTTTTTCTTTAAACAAGAATAAAGTCTCATAGAGTGAAGAACTGGTCGCAGCAGCTGTAGATAATGTGCACAGTCACAGCTGAGTTTGTTCTTCACCTGGTGTTTGACAAGGGAGGACCTGTAGGGCCAGTTTCTCCCAATATTTAAGAACACTAACAGAGAAGAGCCAAAGTGTCTTTAAATTCAAATTATGCAAAGATTATGCTTCAAATAGACAAATTCAAGTGATAAATACTTGTAATGCTGCTGAAAGATTGAGACAATGCTCACCTGGGCAAAGTTGTTTTCATTCTCTGCACCAAGGAGGTTATGTTTTCATTTGTGTTAGTTTGTTAGTTTGCAGCATTGCACAAAAACTACAGGACAGTTTACCATAACAACTTGGTGTAAGGATACAGAGTAGGTAGGTGTATTGGATATTATTGGTGTGAATCCAGATCAGGGGGCAGAATTTTTTTCTCTTTCTTTAACATTGCAAGGTAGAACGTTTTTTTACGTTTTACACTGTTTCCCCAAGGAATCATTAATTGTATCTTGATGACAAGAATCCTGCATGTATATGGAACTGATATCTATGAGTGCCATTCACATACCACCCTAGTACCTGAAAATAGTCGATTGAATGATGGACATACACCAACTCCTCATCCATAACCATGTTCCTCTGTACAGTCATGTCTCAGTGGCTGAATGATGGTGAAGTGCTGGTGGGTCAGGGCTGTGGCGAGGCTGTGCCAGTGAGCCCCAGACCACGGGGCTTTTCCGGTGGGAGCCCCAGACATGGTTTTGGAAACAGCCCACTGGCTTCACCCAGACCGGCAGCAGCGGGAAGTCCGCAGACAGAGACCATGGGCAAGGCCAAGGAGCTGTTTCTGCTGTGTGACAAAGAGGGGAAAGGCTTCATCACAAAGCGGGACATGCAGGTGAGCGTCTAGTGTCGCAGAATAAGAACGTTGAGGCTGATTATAGAGACTTGAACTTTCCATCTTCTGGTCAGAGGCTAGAGAGAGAGCTGCCGCTGTCGCCTGAACAGCTGGAGACCGTGTTTGAGAGTCTGGACCGAGAGAGCATTGGATTCCTCACTCCTGTGGAGTTTAACACAGGACTTGGTGAGTGTAGTGTTTTTGAGTGATTTGGTGCCACAGTTCACTGTAACATGTATGGACAAAAACACTTCTCATACAGTATTAACTAATTCTTCTGTGCTATTCCTCACTCTGCGGTTCAGGTGAGTTGGTGGGACTCGAGGACACGACTGAGTTGAGCCGAGACAAAGCAGAGGAGGATACGGACCAGGTAGACTGGTCCCAGGACGCTACCGCAATCAGATTTGTAAACATGCTGATGGAGTTGGGTGCTGACAAACTTTTTAAAGAGTAAGATGAAACCACTGTTTTATCACAGGGTGATCATATCTTTCTACAAACCACAGAAACGGCTTTATATACTACTGATTATCACATTTGTTCACATGTAGAATCCGTCTGTCACATATGTGTTTGTCAACTGTTGAATGGATGTGTCAATATATAAAAGATATTAGATAGATGAATAAACACTACACCATGTACTTAAGGGGACCACAACACTTAGACAATCTATTAGTTGATCAACAGAAACTAAATTGGCAACTGTTTTGATCGTTTATCAATTACTTCCCCTATTTCTCTTTTCTAGGTTTTACGAATGTGAATGCTTTTCCTTATTCTAGATAGTTAAGTTCTGGATCGATGATCAGATAAAACATGACATTTGAAGGAGTTATGTTTGACTTCGAGAAACTGTAATGTACATTTTTTGCCACTTTTTAAAAAATATTTTATAGATTAAAGGATTAATTGATAATGAAGCAATTACTCAAAATATGAAACTATAATGAAAACAATTGTTGATTGCATCATTGGTTTGTTTTCATCATTGTACACCACTGTCAAAAACACAGAAATGTTTTATCATAGATACTCGTGTATATCCAGTCTCCTTTTTTAAAGAACTCATAGTTCAAATTGTAAAACTAGTGTTTAGTTTCGAGTACTTTGAAGTGCTGAAGAGTTGGTCATAAAACTTTACAACATTTGTTTAAGGTAAGTGATGTTTGAAGTCAGTGTAAGACTTTTAAGGTTGAATATCCTCAGTCTTTTAAATGCTGTGTGTTGTTGTTTTGTTGCGTGACAGTCAGCAGGAGCTGTGTTCTCTGTGGTGTGAGCTCCAGACAGACAGACCAGAGCTGCTCAGTGTCCTGGAGAGTGTTTTGGTCCACACAGTGTCCCATTTACAGGACTCCATCAGAGAGAGAGACAGTCTGGAACAAGCCCTGTGCAGGTCCACACTTCATAACCTCTGTCTTCGACATACATCAACTCTGCCAAATGTAACTGTGGGTGGTTTTAAAATTAATTCAAGACACCTTGATTTTCTTTTTCTGGTTTAGACGCGAGAGCGAACACGATCAGGTTGTTCGGTCCATTTATGAAGACTTGGAAAGTCAACTCAGAGAGGAGCGACAGAAACACCAGGCTCAGGTACAGATGTGAGGGATACCTTCGTTGTTTGATCTGGACCTTCTGACTTTTCAGTTTACTATGAACCGAAATAACTGGTGTGAAAGGTGCCTTGGACAACGATCTAGACCAACAGATCATGGTTCAGTAAATTTGCAGTGTAAAAACATTTTTTGGGATAGTTTGGACTTGTCGACCAAATAGCAGGGAGTTGAACCAGAATTCAACAATAGAAGAAGAAAAAGAAAAGAAGCTATCTTCTAGTCTCTGCTTTATAATGTTTCAATGACAAGGACGGTCATCGGTGCAAACGATGTAACAAAGACATTTTTAACTGGCATTCGTCTGAACTTTCAGTCATTAAAACATCCTTAGTCCAACATTTGTGCCATTTAATAAGAGTGATTGTCATCACAGCATTTAATGAATTTATTTTGAAATCAAGGACAGTATTAGGCTGATGCAAAAAGGGAAGCAACTTGAAGAGGAGCTGAAGAGGCGAGAACAGGAACTGGACAACGCACTGACCAAACAGAAAGAGGTAGGCATCCAAATGACCCTAATGTTATGTCTGATAATGCCAAAGTGTAATGAGAGAATCACAGGACCTGTCTTTGACTTCAGCTGGAGACCAGAATCCGGCAGCTGAGCTGTGAGCAGCTGAACGTTAAGGAGCAGAACCAGCAGCTGCGGACCCTCAACATCCAGCTACAGGACCAGATGGAGAACAACAGAGAGCAGCTGCAGGCCGCTCTGGGTCAGCTCAGCCTTCTGCAGCTCAGCGCTGCCCATGAACAAGTGGCCAGACAGAGGTGAGAGCAAGATTACACCAAAACGGCTGGATGGATTTCCACAAAACTTGGTGGAAGGGTGTGGTATTTGTCAGGGAAGATTTCATTACATTTGAGTATGAATACGGATCAGAGGGCAGATCCAGGAAGTTGCAAGATTACACAACAATTACCCCATTTTTCCAGGGAATAATTTGTGGATCTTGATGAAAAAAACTATTCGTTATCAAATCTCTATTTCAATAAAGGTTTTTGAGAAAAAGAAAGTGTGTCACTGCTTTGCTGTAAAACTTTTTTTAATAAAAGCAGCAATAAACACATGAGAGTCATATGAGCTCCTTTTGGGTTCAAACTTGCTGCGGGCAGTGAATGTTTTTTTGAGATTCGGGACCAGATAGATGATGTGAGATTTAATAAAATCGATAACCTTTCAGTTAAAACCTCCCAAAAGTGGGGAAAATAAGATAAATAAGATCACTCGAAAGACATTTTTTGTGACTGAGATGATCTGATGATAAAGAAGTAATAATTAAAGAAGGATGGCACATGTCTTTTATTTTAATTAATGACAAATATAGCTCAAAACTAGAGTGGTTTCCATCTCTTAATACTTTCTGAATTTCCCACTCTGTTGGTGGCACTCATCCTAAAATACAACAGCTCAGAAACATGTAGTTAAATATCTTTTTAAAAACCTAGAATAGCTGGGTGCTGTAATTTTATCATTCAAACAGGTTTATTTATAATATCCCAAATACAGAAATTTTCTTTTGGTTGTTTTTCTGTAGAAATGTGATGAAGGTGTCAAAGAACATTCAGAAAGAGAAGGACAGCCTGTTAAGACAACTGGAACTGTTGAAGTGAGTCCAACCTGCTGCTGTCTCAATGAAGTTCTCCAAGAAATGTGTAAATGAAACTTGAAACTGTCCCTGAAAATCAGCTCATGATCTTCCAGTGTTTTCCACATATGAATCAGTCGGTGTGAGAATGTCTCTAACTGATTTTCTCTGTCTTTGTCAGGGACATGAACAAAAGGCTACGAGATGAAAAAGACGCTCAACAGTCTCATAAGAGGGTTAGTCACAGACGCTCTGTTCCTCCTGCTCTGCCTTTAACTTACTACCTCAGTGAGGACCTTTGTACACTGTGGACACATCAGGAGGTTTATCCGCCCTAAGCTAAGTCGTGGAAAGACTTCATGCTTTATGGACAATGATTATTTATCTCAGTGGTTATTAACTGAACTCGTGGTAAAGTCACTCACATTGTTTGGGAGTTGTGCATGTCAGCAATTTTTTTTTCTGTGGATGTTGTTTAGTAAAATGAAGGATTTTTGCTGAAAAGACATTTGTTCTGTCTGTGGACAGAGTGTAATAAGTGTAAATGATCATTAATGATTCTGTACATTGCAATATTTATGCAGGTGAACAAAAGTTGGTCAGTGTTTACCAAACCAATAAAGCCCTTTTATTTATCACACTTATTAGCATCCTCCCTCTTATCCCATTCACATTCTTTCAGAACATTAAAGTGGAAGTTTTGTCAAAGCTGTTAATTACATAAATCTTTGGATTCAAGCTTCCATGTTGGTTTCTGACCAAAGGGGCCGACAAAGGAATCAAAACATTCATTCGAGAAACTCTTCTAATTTGGACCCTGTTCAGACCCGGTGGTAACCTCTGTCCTGAGTGGTCCAATCAGTGATCAGTGTTCAGGTCTGAATGCCCCAGATACGTTTTCAACACATCTTGAGATCTGATCACTTAGACAAAAATCGCGGTTGTTCTGTGACACGCGTGTAATCGCATTCTTTTCACTCTGTTAAGGCAAACACATCATGTGCTACGTTTGAAGGACCACCTACTGACGTGTCCTACCCGTAGCAGTTAAAACATTTTTTAGATTTTGTTTCTTACCACGCCCAGTGAGATCCAATCACACGTGTTCACAGGAGACACATTTTTATACTGGGTGCAAACTGACAAACCTAAAGCTGTCCACTTGAGATTAGATCTCTCAGTACGGATGTTAATACCAGGTCTGAACAGGGCCTATACCATAATTAACTACTGATGGTTTTCTACTTTTCAGTTGCCAACAGATGATTATAATAAACTGCTTTGTAGCAGAAAAAATACTATAGGATTGAACCATTACTTTTTAAACGTATAAAAATGTATCTGAACCCTAACCATAACCCGAACACGGTGTTAATGAATGTTTTTTGTTTGCTGACCATAGACTTTAAATATCTGTAACAGTAGAAATCTTTATTTAAATCTTAATACTTTTATGTTATGTTTTATGTTTCTTCTGCCTCACTTTCCACAAAAAGAATCCAAACGTCACAAAGACTTTGGAGAAGAAAGGGTCAGTCATAGGTAACTACTTACTGCAAGACAAGCCACTGAAAAGGTTTGTTTGACCACCTGCAACTGATATTACATTTACTAAAAGTCATATTGCCTCAGTAAGACACTAACTCTGTGTGTTTGTGGATCCTGAAGACAGCTGAGCTCATCTGATGAGTTGGAGCAGAACAAAGACACAGAGATGACAAATATATCCAAGAAACACCAGCCGTCATGTAGTGTCAGGGGGGGAAATGTTGAACACACTCAAACTCAGGTAGGGAAAATATTACATATGAAAATAAACATTTTATTCTTAAATTATCAATTGTACGACATAGTAGCTGTAGCAACAGAGGGTAGTAATGATGAAGATAATAATGATAATAAGCGTTTGTGGTTTGCACAGCACGATGACGACACACAGATTTTCATTTTTCTTACACTTTCTTTCTTAATGGCATAAAAAGTACATATGTTTACATTAAATTGGTCTTTTACCCATATTTTAGAGCAAAACTGTCAGTCCTCGGCAAGTTTTCAAGGTGGTATTCTTGGGTAACTCAGTTGTGGGTAAGAGCTCCTTCATCCAGCATTACTGCACAGGACGCTTCCTCAGTAACACGAGTTCTACAGTCGGTAAGAGTTTCAGCTCAATGATTAACTCACTGCTCAGTGTGTCAGTAAAGATATGAAACCAGGACCCTCTGTTGTTTTGTAGGTTTGGATTTCCAGATGAAAACCTTAACTCTGGACTCCACCACCATCACCCTGCAGCTGTGGGACACTGCAGGACAGGAGAGGTCAGATATGACACAGCTTATTCTCATGTTTACCAGCCATGTGTCTTTTTTATGCCTCAGCGTCAGTGACAGACAGTGACTGCATACTTTGACACTTCCATTTTCCCATCAGTTCTTTTAAACATAATATTTCAAACTTGCTTCAAATGTTGCGTTAAACTCAAGGAAGAACTAATTCGATTTTTCAGTGGTTGAAGATCTTCACTTATTTTCTTTTTGTGTATTAATGTTTCTTAATCCACTTGACTGAAATCCCATGTTCAGGTTTCGCAGTATCACTGAGCAGTACTACAGGAAGGCTGACGGTGTCCTCGCCATGTATGACGTAACTCACTCCCCCTCCTTCACAGCGGTCAGAGGATGGATGGACTCTGTGAAGGTGAACAGGTGGAGGTGTCATGGAGGGCTGGATGCAAAAACACAAAAGATTTGAAAACGTGCAGATTATTCACAACACAGTACAACAGGAAGCTAAGTAAACACAAATGTCATTGAAGATATCCAAGTGTAGTATAAATAAAGGAAGTTTAAGTTGAGTTTAAGTTTAATACATTTTACTACTTCTTTTATTTATTCGTTAGGTTATTTTTGTAGGTTAACCTCAGTTTTTAATTCTGATGATAAAATAATAATAAAGAAAGAGTTGTATAACCTGTTCTCTGTCACAGGACAAGATGTGTGAAGGTGCGGTCTTAATGCTACTTGGGAACAAGCTAGATCTGGCAGACACACAAAGCAGAGAGGTGACCACAAGGGAGGGGCAGAGGCTGGCAGAGGTGAGGTTTATTTGAATATTCAAAAATGTTCTTCAGTGATTTTCATCATTATACTTTGTGGGTTTTTTAACATTTTTGGTTTTTACAGCAGCACCAAGCTTTGTTTTACGAGTGCAGTGCCAAAACCGGACATAACATGGAGGAGCTCATGACTCAACTGGCAAGGTATGATATTTCTCTCCTGTACATTGTATTATTACACTGAATGTGTCGCTGTAGCCACACTCGTTTACAAACTAAAACAATGTAGAACAATACAATAAATCCTACCTTCATGATTGTTAAAATGAATTCACTTTTTGTTTGAACTGTTATAGAGACGTGTTGAATCTGATTTGAATTTTTTAGAAACCTTTGAACAAATGCTCATCATAATATTCAGAGCCTCCGGTGATGTCTTCAAATATTGTGTGTGCAAATGAATTTCTCGTCTCCGACGCTGTAGTTTGTGCTGCACAATGATTTTTATATTTGAAATATTTTAGGACATTGGTCGCCCGGCATGATCGACAGTATGTAGATGCACTTTTACTCAGCGAGGACACATCTACAAAAGGCTGCTGTACATAAACACAGAAGAAAAGACTAAAAATGTGAACAAGTGGTTCGCTGTGGTAAACTTCCTGTCCTGAGGTCACATATTTTTCTATGAACAAGTTTACTGAACAGTGTGTGTAAGGTTTGTTTATGCTGTGTATATAATCCATCCAATTAAACTTTATTTTTTGATGACTCCTCTTTTGTCTTTTTAAACAGAATTACTTTTAAGTTGGCTAATGTATACTGATAACTTAAAAGTATAACAAGTGAGCGTAACTTGTAACTTATAAGCAAAACATTTGTTTTTAGAGGTAAAAAGCTTGTATGCATGAGAAACCAGCTGGGGGCAGACATGTACTCTGTATAGCTGCTGAGGGGTGAGCTGCCTGCTGTGCCAAAAGAGGACAGACGCTCAGGCGCTCGGGTCTGAGTGTCAACTGAAAACGTACACTTTTGCAGCTAACCTTCAGAGACAGCAGCACATTGACACTGGGGTTAGCGGGAGCCTGGAAGACGTTGCCCCAATATTCTACATCCTCCAGGGTCCACCAACGCAAATCAGGTAGGAGTATTCTGGTCTCAGTAGAAAGGCAGATCAGTTTTTTCCATGACACAATGAGTTAAAAATAACTGAGTGTGATCATCAGGAGATTTTGTTTTGCTGAACGATCACATTCATGCATGGAGCGTTTTATCTTGTGGCTAAATAGACTTTTATTTAATGCAGAATAGCATCTTTTTAATGCGGTTGGTATTTTATATCTGTTGTGCCTTTACCCTTTTTGACTTTTGTCACTCATGATGCTCAAAGTCACATTTCTAAAAATAGAAGGAGAAAGTTTATTTGAGGTTTGGATAAAATAAGACTTTGACTAATTTATTTAGTAAATAGTATATCACTGGGGTGTGAGAAGATCAGGTTAAGTTACTGGGATGGGGACATATATATAACTGTCTGCTGGACAACACGTGACACAAGTTAAGTATGTTTACCCCACAACATATTTGATTTCATCAGTGAGTGAGTTTGAAATGCACCACATTTTGTTTTTGGTCGACTGGTGAATGTTTTTCAAAGCCTGCACACATTAAACTTTAAAAAAGACGACATGTTGTCAGCTTGTACAGCTCATATTCACAGTAGTTAAATCTGAGCTCCCTCAGTAAATCACCATCATCATCAGCAGAGGAACGTAACCAAACTGAAAGAGAAAACGTGTGTGTGTATAGTGACACCAGCACTAACTCAAGCTCAAGTGTGAGATCACTATCACACTAAATGAGAGCAGTGACGGAGGGGAACAACCTGCTCTCTTTGCAATCTGATGTTCTCGAGACATTTTTCATTTGCTGAGGTTTTCTATGTTTGCACTAACATACTGATATAAATCAGTTCCTTTTTTTTTCAGAATGGAAACTCAAGGGGACAAAACTCACACCTGTGGGACAATCTGTCTGAAATATCTACTGTTTCTATTCAATATTCTTTTCTGGGTAAGTTCCGAAGGACATTTTTACAGAAGTCAAGACAGATACCGTGATGATTATTAATACCAGTTGTAACTAGAATCTCACTCAGTCGAGCGCAAACCTCCACTAAGGCCCAACAGTCCCCTTCATTAAAATCAAGATTGCAAACACGCATAGAAATTAGTGTCCTTACCATATTTGACTTTTTTCATCAAGATCCATGAATTATTCTCTGAGAAATCACTGAAAGTGTTTTTAAAAAATGTTCTATCCTGGACATTCCTGGATCTGCCCCTTGATCTAAACAATTTGATGGACTCTTTACCTATATGACCCATACCACCTTCTTCCTTCCTTCTTTCTTTCCTTCCTTCCTTCCTTCCTTTTTTCCTTCCTTCCTTCCTTCCTTCCTTCCTTCCTTCCTTCCATCCATCCATCCATCCATGCATCCATTTCCTTGGAAATCTGTCCAATATTTTTTGCCTAATCTTGCTCACAAACAAACGGACAGGGGTTAAAACATAACCTTCTTAGCAGAGGTAATGGTTAACATTTACTTAGAGCATGTTATCATTTAATTCTTTGTTTAATATACTGCAGAGTTTCATTTTATGACGCTGAATCTACTGTATTCCCACTGTTAAAAAGTCTTCTTCACACATACTCTGTAAACATATGCACATGTTGCTGTATGATGTTCCTTCAGACTACATTTGAAGTATCATGCGGTGTACACACAGTTTGCAATAGATAATATTGAGCTAAGAAAAATATTGTGCATCAGATTTAAAAAAAACACTTTTCGCTCCACGTCTCTCCAGGCGTACAGGAGAGAATAGGGCGTTGATTACTTTGCATTACGATCACATTTTAGCAGCTAATTTATAAGAGTTAAAAAATGCTGTGGCACATTCTTGACATTTCAAGCATCTGGCTTGCATTGAGCAGATAACAGTGCGTTCTTTCAGCTGGCAGGAGGAGCAGTGCTGGCAGTGGGAGTGTGGACGCTGATGGAAAAGAGCGACTACATCAGTTTACTCAACTCCAGCTTTTATTCGGCCTCAGCTTACATCCTGATAGTTGCCGGGGTCATCGTCATAGTGACCGGAATAATCGGATGCTGTGCCACTCTGAAGGAGATGAAGAGTCTTCTGGTTGTGGTGAGATGGATCAGTCGCACAAAACGTCACAACCTTATTAGCAGAAAATGTATATTTCATATTTCACTACACTCCACCAAAGTATTAACCCCATTTCATTAGAATGACACTTAGTGGAGCACATACCTCCTCCAATGATGAACAAACCTACACATGATTCTGTCTGATTATTATCTATGTAGTTAATTTGTCATACAACCTACTTAAAGTTAGTGGGGGGGGGATCTGGATCCACCAGTTTATCCAATCCTAAATTTAATAGGCTTTTTCCAGGCCCAGGCCCAGGCCCCATCCCTCCACCACGTTTAGTGGAAATCAGTTCAGTAGATTGTGTGTAGTCCAAATAAACCAACACACAGACATGGGTGGTAACATAATAGACGTAGTAGATAATTATTGTATCTGGAATCAGAAACCAGAGGAGGACACTATAAAAACCTATTAATACACATACAACCCAGGCTGGGTCTACGTTTATTGAAAGTTAATCCCTGGTGACCTTCTGTCTCCTTATTATGTCAGACGGGCATGACCGTCAGAAATAACGGTCAAAGTCACGCAGAGTGTGTCTTTAAGAGTTTAGATTTAGAGAGCGGCTCATGCCAGAGGAATGAGGGGCATCACAAGCGGCTGCGTGGACTGAAGAGGGTGGGAGAGAGAGCAGACGCATGCAGAGAGAGGATATAATACTTAAAAAGTCCATAACCTCTATAACACTGTGTCTGTTTCCATATTTACCATGACCTTTGTGATTACTAACTTCCTTTCCCACAGTATATTCTCCGCATCAGTTGTCATTTTGGTTTTTGAGTCATGCACAAATAGTTTAAATCGTTAAGTGTCATATTTCAGCACAGAAATGTAGTAAACCACCAGCTGAATTTCATTTATTTATGTGTTTGTGTGTATGTTCTGGCTTTCTTCTCCAGTATTTGATCTTGTTGCTGTGTATTTTCCTGCTGGAAGTCATTGCTGGAGTACTGGCCTACATAAATTACCAAGAGGTACCCTGTAAATGTTTTTACTTTGTGATTGTGCTTCTTCATTATTTTTGATGGCATCAGTTTTTTTTAGATATTGCAGCAATTACAAATCAGACCTTTTCCCCCTCTTCCTTTCCTTTCCCTTTCTTTTTCTACCACTCATGAAATGCTTCAGTCGTTGCACTCTTTGCTGGCAGATCTTCTTTGCATGTCTCTCTGTGCATGTTCTTCATTTGTACTGTTTTTTTTCCATTCTTCTCACACCTTTTTTTTCCCCCTCTTCTCTGGCTCCAGTGTTTCCCTTTCTGCTACCAGGTAATCCGCTGCCATCTGTTTCCATCTCATATTGAACTATTTCTCTGTTACATCTTGATATACGATGGTTCAGTGTCACTCTTTGCACATTTGTCAGTCGAGAAACAAAACTATTTATGTTTGTGAGTCAGTTTAAAGCATGCTCGTGGGGTCAGGAGGCCTGCGCTCATGTGCTGTGAGTTATATGTGGTGGGCACAGGTACAGTGGAATGTAGCAGGGGAGGAAGGGAATTTGACGAGGGGCTTTTTTAAATGGATGCTGACAGATTGTTTTCCTGAGCCGTCACTGAAGTGCATCTCCTCTCACAGCTGGACGAGGAGCTCAGACAGAACCTGAAGGTGACCATGCAGCAGAAATACCAGCAGCCGGGGGAGGAGAGCGTCACACAGGCGGTGGACAGGCTCCATCAGGAAGTGCGGAAGTCGTACTGCATCAGAAGATTTTAAATGACCTTCTGCACGTGGATGCAGTTTAATGTTACGCACCATTTTCTCATCTTAGTTTCTGTCCCTTATTCCTCCCTCTCAGTTTAAGTGCTGTGGCAGTAACAACTACTCAGACTGGAGAGACAGCGTGTGGATCCGGGCTGCAGATAACAGGCAGCTGGTTCCTGATAGCTGCTGTAAAACTCCCAGTGTGCTCTGCGGCCGAAGGGACCATCCCTCCAACATCTACAAGGTGGAGGTTAGTATAGAGCTGATCATTTGGATAAAAGCTTAAATGAGCAAGGTTTTAATTTTCTTTCCCCCATTCTCATGCTGTCAGGGAGGCTGCATCTTAAAGCTAGAGGATTTCATCTTGAGTCAGTTGTATATTCTCGGGGCAGTGGGTATTGGCATTGCTTTTCTTCAGGTAAAACCACACTGTCTATCTCTTTTAAAGTTCTGCAAAATACTGAGCTGTAGACAATGGTTGTTTCTGTGTGGTTATTAAGTAACAAGTTCTCTTCTCTTTTCTCTTTTAGCTTGTGGGGATGATGTTCACTTGTTGCCTTTATAGAAATTTGAAAGAAGATCCGTACTGAGTTCTGCAATATCACAACATGTTTCACATGAAATCTTGATGCCTCACATTATTTACACAGTTCTGGATGCTCAAGAGATTCAAGATTCGAGATTCAAACTTTATCATCATTCATACCAAACACAAGACAAGAACAAACTGCATCCAGCTCACTAATGTAATTCAGAATGTCATGGTTTCCTAAGTAGGTCTAAACGCTATATCTAAAGTAGTGATGATAATAATAATATTATTAATCGGTTCAAATTATGAAATGATGATTGTCAAAGAGCAAACAGTGGAGACACTGTAATGCTGCTGGATAGCTCTGTTCCAATTCTCTTCAAACTCAAATGCATGACTTCGGCCCTTTTAGATTTATTTTAACACAAATTATATTTGAATTAATTTTTTATTTTGTATTCTATTTTGATTTTATTTTTAAAGATTTCATCTTGCAAACAGTCTCGGTGCTTTATTATTTATCTTTTTTGTTTGATTGTTTTTTTTTATGTATGTCAGTGTAACCAAGTGATCATTTCAATGAAATAATAATTGTTTGTTCGTGGAGTGCAAATAAAAAGTAACCACTCATTTTTACCTTCACTGAGGAGGTTCCGTTTTCACCTGTGAAAGTTAGTTTGTCTGTTCCTTCAGGGAAGAACTCATTCAATTTTGGTGCAGGTCCGGATCTGGGGCTGGATCCCCTTATCTTTTTTACATAGTCGTTTTTCAACATTTTCAGTGATTTCTTAGACAATAATTCATGGATCTTGATGGGATGCAGATCCAAAATAAAAATCTGGATTAGGCTCATTTAAATGTGGTTTCATAAGGGGACTGTTGGACCTTGGCGGAGGTAGAGCTTGATCATCATTCCAGTTGCAAAAATGACTGCCAATCTTAGTGGAGCATTGGGGCCTGGGAATAAACCATTACATTTTGGTGTGGATGTGGAGTAAAAGACAGTTTCAGGATTATATTATATATATATACATTTTTTCTCTTTAACAATGTTCAAAGACAAACAAATCATCAGATACATTTGTCTTACATTTTTGCTGTAATAACTAGACAATCATGTGTAGGTTTGTTTCTACTTCCCTCTGGAGTTCAAACCTCCTCTTCTCCTTGGACTTTTATTTTGAAATCCCATGAGCGGATGTTGTTGTCAGCTGACAGGACTTCTTCCTCGTGTGTTCTCTTATTTCCTGTAAGATTCCATCGACAGTTCTCTTCTTAATCATTTGAAACAGACAGAAACATTTGATGTGGAGGGCAGATCGAGATCGTCGACATGTCTGCAAAGCCAACGTGTTTGATCGTGGCCAGTTCCTCTCCTCAGGGTGAGTGCGTCCCCTCATTGTTCCGCCAGTTCAATGAGGAAGAGACACAAAGTGCACGGACACTGCTACAAATCAATGGTTCTCGATGTAATCACTTGTTACCACGTGGCTGAACTAACAGTCTGCAGCTGTTTATGTTTGCAGATGTGCAGTGATCTTCCTGATGCTGATGTGTTTGTTTGTTTGTTTGTTTGTTTGTTTGTTTGTTTGTTCAGGAGTCTCCGCCAAGTCTTTCCATCAGTGCTTCACTCTCTGTAGCTCAGTGTTCAACCTGCAGACTGCCACACCTGGGGTAAGACATGTATTACTTTCTTTACAACGATACAGAAAGTCACCAGACGTTAACTTCTGCAAAATCTATTTCTCATCATGTTCAAATGTGTGATCTCTGAAACAAATACCTTAAAATATAGTAACTCTGTTTGGTCTCGGATAAGACATTAACACTAACACACAGGCAGGTGAGTAATGAGGTTAAAATGAGATGTGGGCACCGCTGTCTCAAACTGTTTATGTAATTTACTAGTATTTAATAGATTTAATAGTTATTAGCCATTATTAAAGGCCCAGAAATAGCTTTTCTTAATGAATGATTAATAACTAATGATACCGTTATAAGATGAGAATTAAGAAAAGTAAAATATAATGTATTACTATGTAAATGTATACATTTAATTGTTATTCCTTGTTGGATATTTAATGGGCAATAAAAAGAATTACAAGGTTACAATCTGTGATCAGTAACAAGCTCTCTGATTGGTTAGAGAACTGAACTTGCTACATACCCCAGCTGTCAGAGAGCTATGTGCTTGGTTCATTTGTAAATATTTCATCATTTTGGACTTTAGACATGGACACCATAGATCGCTCTTACTGATGTGATGAAAATAACTGACTTTCAGGGGAAGCCAATAGACTTTGTTGGAGTGGATGAAAGCACTGCCAGATGGGTGCAGGATTTCAACTTGAAACCTTATGCAACACCGGCTAAACTTGAATCTATAGATGGTGAGAATATTCATTTCACGGCTGTTTGTCTGTTTTCATTCCTGCTGCTGGCTGGACTCTGCTCACTTCATGTCATCACGACCTTGTTGCAGGTGCCCGATACCAGGCACTGCTCATCCCAGACTGCCCCGGAGCGCTGAATGACCTGGCACACAGCGGCTCCCTGCACCGCATCCTCACACACTTCATCTCTCAGCAAAGTGAGTGTGAGGCTCAGTCAGGATTTAAAGTGTGTGTTTGCTGCAGAGATTCAGATGCTTTTTTTTTTCTGTGTGCAGAGCCTGTTTGCGCAGTGGGACAGGGAGTGTCGGCTCTGTGTTGTGCCACAGAGGGACAGAGGTGGATCTTCAACGGATACAGTTTAACGGGGGTTCGTTTTCCATTAGTAAACATGGCAAGGCAATACACCCAAATATATGTATATATGTCTCCAGTGTAATTAAAAACAAAAACTGTGTGTTTGTTAAAGCCATCAGTGTTTGAACTTGTGCGGAGGCCTGACTTCGCCAACCTGCCCCTGATCGTTGAAGACTTTGTGAAAGACAGTGGAGGATCATACACAGGTGAACTGACCTGCAGAGCGCACACACAAGATCAACATATATTTAATCTCCACTTGTAAAACTAAACTAACACCCCCCCTCTTCTTTTTTTATCTCTCTGTTTTCCAGCAAGTCAAGAAGACGCTGTGCATGTGGTCATAGACAGACACCTGATAACTGGTCAGAACATGCAGTCCACCTCACACGCTGTACACAATCTGATCCTGCTCTGCAGCGCCAAGTAAAAACAGAAACGTGGATCAGGAGCACAGCTTATTGATTCACATTTATATTTATGCCATTGAACAAACATTCATCTCAGAAAAATACTGAAAGATGCTGAGTCAGAACAGACGTCTGGTCACACTGTAAATACAATTTCATCACTTAGCAATGCTGTTATTATAAATCTATTAAAAATCGCATACTAATGGTCATGCTCCTTCGGCTGGATGAAGATTTGTTATTGCACTAAACTGTATAAGTTGATTTCATTTATGCAGCATCACAGATTAAAAGGAATAAAACATACTGAAGTAGCTATCGGCTGCTGCTTGTACCGTTTTAATAAACAAACCCATGTTTTATTCATAAAGGCCGAACCTTTCAGAGTTCATTTTATTTCCGTTGCTTGGGGAGAAAAAGAAAAATAATACCAGCACCGGCACAAGTGTTTCTGGTGCACCGTCGTCCAGAGAAAGAAAATCCTCGTGCTGATGATCCGAGGTGCCTCAGTCTTCACTCACAAGTTCAAACTCTCATAGGAGATCATAGAAATAATCCAGTCCTTGTCCCAGTTCCCATAAGGAAACTCCAGTTCCCAGTTCAGAGGCTAAAGATATTCTTAGGTAGATTGACTGTGAAATAAATAAAGTAAAGTTTAACATCCATATTTAACAGTAAACATAAGTTTAACTGTTGAGTGATGACATAATGTAACGACTGTTTACACAGAAAGTTAATTAAACTGTGAAGAGTTTTACCTTCAGTGTGGGATAGTAAACCACATGTTTAGCTGCATTGCTCCTGAAGTCAAAGAATGGAGACAGATATTGTTAAATGACGCCAGAAACAAATATGTGCACATTCAAAGTTTTGTACTATTAGTACCTTTTGTAAGTGAAATAATGCTCTGCAGAATACTCATCCCACAGAAGTTTGGGCCTGTGTTCTCGCAAGAGCTCAATGAACCTGCAGAAAATCAAACAGAATTGTTAGACCTCTGAATGTCTCACAGCTTTTACCAGAGTTAGAATAGTTTGTGTTATTTCACAAGTCAGGTTTCTCTATTTGTGTTTTTGTCCTTGCTCCTCTCACTGGTTTGATGAGCGCGGGGCTTACTTGGGAAAACATGACGGAGCCTGCTTCTGTGTACAAGTCAATCCGAGGCCCGTTCAATGCCAAACGTTTTGCATCATTTTGCTTCTGTTTCGAGGTTGAAGGACATGTTTGCTTGTAACGATGTGCGACGGGCACGAGACGTAATGTACTCTACCTCCTAGCTCTCTAGCAGAATGGCCTTCTCAGCTGCCATAGTTGCAACTTGTGTATCACAACTGTGCTCAATGCGTCATTGTTCCTAGTCTGCACTGAACGGAGCCCTGAACACAGCTGTGGTGTTGCTTATGTAAATGTTCTACATCACATCTGATCAAAATTCACACATAGAGGTGATGTTTCTTTTTCAAATTATTTGTTGCTTCACTTGATAGTGAATCTGTTACAGACAAATACTTTTAACTCGAAAGTTCTCATGGACTTTAAAGGGGAAATGTAGTGACTTTACATGATTCTGTTTACACATCAGTGAATGATGCTTTCTGCAGCTTTATATGTTAGTCTGATAAACTGAAAACCACAAGTTTGAAATTGAAGAACAACCAGCCGGAGATGAGATTAGATTACATTAGCTACTTCTTGCGTAAAACACCTGATATCTGACTGAGGAGTCGAAAGTCAAGTTGCCATGTGAATAACATAGACGTCAGGTTATGATTCGGAAGAACATAGTTTGGAAAAATAAGTCAATAACAATGTTTTCGGAATGTTAATCAGCGGAGTATTCTACATTTTAAGATTTAAACATGTTAATTGCTCGAATGTAAACTTATTCCAGCAGCAGTCTTTGTGTTTTCTTACCTTCCTCCCAGGATCGGCTCTGTTCCCTGACTTCCAAAATCAAGTCCGTACATATTGAGTCCCAACAGGATCTTCTGCCTCCACTGAGTGTTGGGTGCGAGCTGGAGAACACAGTCTCTTACCCAGGCCAGCGGAGCACTGGGGCCTGGTCTGTTAAAACAAGGAAAGAAAAGAAAAGCTACATCACTTACTATAATCACATCTCCACCTACTACATCACAAACACATCTGTGCACTCACCTGGCACCGCTGGAGTAGTCGTATGTCATGAGGCTGAATCCATCAACTACTGGAGCCAACTCTTCAAACTCCTCCCTGCCAAACATACCTGGCTGCCCCGCACTGATCAGGATGGAAAATTTTAAATGCAACAGTAAATCAGCAAGAATTTAACATTTATAATCAAAGAAAATAGTCTTATTTTGTTCACCTTGTCACAGCAGGAGGGATGATGAGGATGCAGTCTAATCTTTTAGCCTTCAAAGTCTCACAGATGTGTTTTACTAAATGCACCAGCTCCCTGCTCAGAGAAAATTCAACATAGTGTCATTAACTGTAACACTTCCCCAGAGGTCCTATTTTAGAATATTGTGCTGCTGTTAGAATAACTCACTTTCTTTTGTTGCCGCCCAGCTGGCTCCACAGCTCCAAGGTGAAGCCGTCAAAGCCTTCAGTCTGCAAGGACACACAGTCTGCAGTTAAACTGCACAAACACTGCACACTGCGATATGAGAGTTACAGATACATATAACACTGTTATTACCTTTGCAACATCCACCAGCTCACTGCCCAGCTCCTCTATCTCATCCTCACTCCCCAGCACGCTCATGTAGTCCTGGTAAGACCAGCCGTCAAATAACAGCCGAGGCACTGGCAATACAGAACATGGAGCGTTTCAATGAGTTATTTGAAACCACACATGCACAGATGTGCGTTGTGGGGTTAGATATTTACTCACCCATCCTGACTTTTTTGTTGGACTTGCGCACAGCTTTGACCCATCCTGCAAAGACAAAAAAAGGCCATTACTATGTGCTCAAGACAACAGGAGTGTTGGCTATCCCCTCAGCGATGTTGGCTGATTACCTGAGTCGTGATCATGGAGTCCCGTGACGTCAAAGGTTTCATGCCCTCGTCGGCGGAGCTGAAGCCACACCGGACACACTGAGGTCAGTTTGGAGCCAAACGTTTTGGCCACGTCATAGCCGTGAGAATTCCACTGCAGAGTAGGAAAATACAAAAAAATTCATTCAAGGACATGTGCACATCTTTTCAAGTCGGTTATTCCTCCTCTAACAACTCAGATAAAAGGGCTGGACGATATGGACAAAAATATTATCAAGATAAATAATTTTGACATCAGTGGATTATCAACAATCATCGTGAAGAATTCAACTTTAGTATATGTTTTCATTTGAAAGACTGATTTTTGCTGCTGACTGAATGTTGTGGTTTTGAACTCTTCTTCATGAGCAGAGAATGACAAACACTTGATTAACAGCAAAACTTTTTTCAAATCAGAGGTAGATTAATTATAGTTTTGGAGAAGATCTGAATAAATGGGCAGATTCCCTTTCTTTGACATGATGAGGTAGGGCATTGGCCTTAGCAGAGTTATGCTCTCTCAGAGCGCCGCTAGTTTGTTTTGTCATGTGGGCACATCCCACACATTTAGAATTTAGCTACACACAAGTCAAAGAAAGACACTAAATCCAAACAGGGAAGAAGCTGAAATCAGCAAATATGAAATGATGAAATGTTAATCAAAACAGATTGATTACTCAATTATTTTCAGCTTTATCAATGCTGCAGTCTTTTTAATGTTAATTCAAAGTCATATGATTAAATCATTAAGCTTTGCTAACTTCTAAAACCTATTTTGCACAGAACAAAGACTGAGGATTTTCCCTCCAATATATTCTCATCCCGAAATAAAAATTATACTTTTCACAACAACTTTAATGATGATTAAGTACAAATATATAAGTGAGGACTGTAACAAGACATAGTTTAATGTTGTGCTGCAAGATGGAGTTCAGACTTACAGGTGTGACATATCCCAGCACTGCTCCTTGAAATGTTCTCTTGATGTGAGCGCAGTGTCTCTTCTCCTCCTTCACTATGTCTTTCCAGAGCGGGTCTGACACAACCAGGCCTCTGTCCAGCACAGATAAATCCACTACAGACGTCTGAACAGTGGGGTCAGAGAGAGGAGAGCACACCAAACAACTTTAAGAGTATTACAAGTTTGTGCTCAGCACAGAAAATAATCAGCTACAGCAACTGTGCAGTTAAATAAACAGACATTTCGATAGATACATATTAAATAGGATAAGTAAAAAGTGAATATTAAAAAAACAGAATATTAAAAAAGAAAAGAATAGAAAGAGTTGTTATTGATGACTGAAAATATAGTTAAATTAAAAATAAAGTATCACAGAGGTTACCTATAACACACTTTAAAAATACTCAATATACATAATACAATAAAATACCAATGTTATTTAACTGCAGTACAAGTAGAGAAACAGAAGCCATTGTATCATGTAGAATCATTCCAGTGTAGTCTTGTATTATTGGATTATTATTACTAATATATAACTGTATGTGAAGGATATTATGTTGTAACTTTATGTAAAAAAGTTAATTCACTCACTTTATTTTTTACTACAAATACTAATGAGTTGAGTAAAAAGTACAATGTTCTGCCTTTTACTGAATGTGGAAGTATAAGAAATAAGTCTTACATATATAGATAAGCATTTTTATCCAGGTACATAAGTATACATATAAATGTGTTTGGCTTTTTTTATTTGTTGATGTTGTAAATGTTTGTAGAATTGTTAGTGTCTATATAATCTGTAGAGACTTGATATATTATTTAAATTAACATAGGAATCCAGTTGGGGGTATTGTTTGGCATTCATCATTTATTGCACAAAATCAGTAGATTACAATGAAGTGTGTGTTGTGATTCTCATCCTTAAAATATGTAATAACACTTAGTCACATTAAGCTTAGACTGAAACTATATACAACCTTTCAATCGAGTCCAGAAAGTATTTGAATGGACACAACGACAAGTGTGTCACAGGTTCAGGTGCATGGAAGCAACATTGAAATTGGTTTTCAACATCTCAGAATTTGGAGGAATAGAGATTCGATAGATACGTATTGATTTAATCTTATTGGTGATGCAGACTCTGTGAGGCGTGCACATGCAGCACAGTGACAGGTGAGGAGGATAAGGCCTCTCTACATGCAGGTGGACACGGTGACATGAGGAGGATCTGACAGCTCCCAGCCAGCGTGGAGCTGAGCAGCTGAACTTACTCACCTCGGCCTCAGATTTGTGAGACTTCTTGGCATCAGTCTTTGAGAGAGTGGCAGCGACGAGCCAGCAGCAGGAAATGAGCTGCAGCAACACTAACGAGGCTCTCATGTCTGATGAAGGAAGTGAAATGATCCCTCAGATGAATCGGTGGGTTTTCGCTCAGGTCTGCAGGTTTGCAGCTTCCTCCCTGACTGACTGATCAGAAAGCAGCATGGTCTCTGGAATCACACAGAACAACGAGCCACAGCGGCTCCACTCATCCCGACGGACCGAGTCAACACGAAGTTATAATAAACGACTGGAGCCGGATTCACTGACAACTTAGTCCAACGTGTTTCTGGAGCAGAGCTGGGCGTCTTCCGCGTTTTGGGCTTTTCAAAATAAACGCTGCGGAGCGATCGAGAAGTGGAGGAGACTTCCGGGAGGTTTCTGTGGCGTGTTTAACTGTCTGTGGACTTTACACTGATGTCATCCTTGTTCTCTGTCTTGTTTTTACTTGGGTCTTGCTCTATGGGAATTAGAATTTTACCCTCCAGGGGTAAATAAAGGTTTTTGAATTTGAATGTGGAGTCAGCAGAAGAGGCAGATCCGATAGATGGCGGTAATGCGCCTTTGACGTTGGTTGCTAGCCGCCAATGAACATAGAAGAAGAAGACGATTCTTTTTTCAGCCAGAGAGACAAGTGTCAATAAACAAACTCCCCGGTAACAGAGGACACAACAGAGTTCAGCTCCGTGAACTAGTCAGGACTTTCCTCTCTCTCGGTGTCTCCTCAGATGAATAGTAACAGGTGAGTGACATTGTCGCGTGCAGTCACTGAAGCTACGTTAAAAGGCTGAGAGTTGTAAGGTTAGCAAGCTAACATGTTAGCACGTGTGTCTGTGCTCGTCTCAGCTCACGTGTGTCACTAACTACATATAAACATAATGGTAATGATTTAGAGGATCAACGTGGAGCCGTCTATAACCAGGCGTCGTTCCTTTGATCCTGTATGTTGTTCTAGTGTCTGTAACAAGATCCTGTGATCTCTGGTGTCAAATGCTGCACTGAGATCCGACAGGACGAGTACAGATACAAGTCCATCATCTGATGCCATTAGTGACTTTCAGCAGTGCTGTCTCTGTGCTGTGATGGATTCTAAATCCTGACTGAAACATTTCCAGCAAACTATTACTATGTAAGTAATCACACAGCTGGTTAGCAACAGCCTTTTCTAGGATTTTTGAAATGAGCAGGGCAGATATGAGTCTGTAATTGTCTAAAACCTCTGGATCAAGCATAGGCTTTTTAAGCAGAGGTTTAATAACAGCTATCTTAAAAGCTTGTGGTACGTAGCCGGTTAACAAAGAAATGTTAATGTGATTTAATATGGAGTCAGTTCAGGAAGATCAATAGAAGAAAATTGGTTCAATTTTGGTGCTTTGCTTTCAGGACCAGACAATATATCTATTCATTGGGAGGAGGTGGTGGATTTTATCCCTGATGGTTATAATTTTATTTGTAAGGAAGCTCATGAAATCATTGCTGCTCAGGGTTAGAGGAATAGATGGGTCAGTAGAGATGTGACTTTCTGTCAGCCTGGCTACAGAGCTGAAGAGGAACCTGGGGTTGTTCTTTTATTATTCTATTAATAATGAATAATAAGAGGTTCAGGCATTTCTAAGTGCTTTCTTGTAATTTATCAGGCTATCCTTCCAAGCTAGGTGAAAGTCATATTGATTGGTGGAAAGCCACTTCCTCTGTAGCTTCAGTGATGTCTGTTTTAAGAATTGAGAATTATACCATGGAGCTAATCTCTGATTTACCTTCTTCTTTTAACGGGGTGACAGCGTCAGGGTTGTTTTTAATGAGGCTGCTGTACTATTAACAAAGTTATCAACTAATGTGGGAGTAAAGTTTTGACAACTTTCCTGTATTGTACTGACACATGGCTGAGAGGAAAGTCTAGAAGGAAGCAGTTCTTTAAATTTATTCACAGTTTTATCAGATAAACACCGACTATAATAGAATATCGGTCCAGAATTTCTATTGAGTTAAATGCTGAACTAAGGCTGTCGTTGGCAACATCTACATGAATGTTGAAATCACCTACTATAATGATTTTATCTGTCCTAAGAACTAGCTCTGATAGAAATTCAGAGAATTCAGATAAAAATTCTGAGTAAGACGATATATGATAACTAGATAAATTGGTTTATGTGGTTTCAAGCTTGGATGTATGAGGCTGATTATCTGATTTTCAAAGGAATTAGAACTTTATAATTATAACCAAGTATATAAACCATGAACATAAATATAAATCCATGTCATGAAAAATAGAAACATAAAGTAACAGAAACAGAAATTATTCAAGTAAAGTTAAAGCACCTCAAAACTATACATATATATATATATATATATATATATAGTTACTTTCCACTACTGTGGGATTCACCCTCATTACTCAGATAACCATGAATTAGTTCAGACATGTTTTGGGGACTGTGCTTTTACATTTATAATCATTTTATCTTTATAGTGAGTGATGGCGGTTGAAGAATTTGTGTTGAAGACACTCGAGCTTCTAGAGGAGGAGAGAGAAGCTGAAATAGAGGAGACCAGGTAAGTAAAATAACATTCAGACTGTGATATCGATGACAGTTTTAGTCCCTCCTATGAGTCAAGCTCCATAGATTCTGGATCCTACACTTCCCATAATGCCATTCCTGATCATCAGCCTGATATCATCAAGTTTATTTTATCATGGGCTGGATATAGTCCAAGACACATGCTGACAGTGGACATGCAGATGTATGCATTCACAGAGTCATGAGTTTTTGGCTGCATGCAAAGAAGATGGTCTTTTTATAACATGACCAAATGACATGACAGCGTCATTCAGGTGCAGTCGGTAGAATTTAAGCGTCAGATTTGACACAGAACCATAGAGGATGTTCTTTATCTTTTTTTATTGGTGGTGTAGGCGTTTCCTAGACAACTATACCGACCTTTATGTGGAATTGGTAAATATCTAGACATAGGTCATGGAATGGTTTACTGGAAACACAGACATTAACCTTCAATGTTTCCCAAACAAAATATAAAAATATGAAATCCTATTATTGACAGTTGACTGTAAAATTAGTCTTGTTCTGTGCCTCCAGGTTATGGCAGGAGAACATCTCTCTCAAGGATCTTCAAAATAAAGGTGTTTGCCTGCTGAAACTGCAGATAGGAAGTCAGTCTACAGGCTTGTATGGACGCACAGTCGTCATCCTAGAGCCAAGAAAGCATCTTGGTTTCTCATCTCTACCGAGCAACAGCTTTGGGCCTGGTGAGAAAAATACAACATTTTATGTGTGTATTTGGGGGCTTTGTTTTCAAATTCTGTTGAATGTGCTAATGTCTTTTTTTACAGGTGATATTGTTGGCTTATATGACGCGGGTGGATGCACCGCAGCCTCTCAGATTGGCACAGGGATCGTGACGAGGGTCAGCCAGACCTCTATCAGTGTGGCTTTTGATGATTCAAAGGATGGGCTCAGTTTTGACACAGATGCTCTTTACAGCCTTTTAAAATTAGCAAATGACGTCACCTACAAACGCATGAAAAAGTGAGTAACCATCTTTACTGAGCACATACAGCTAAACGTCTGCTGAGAAACCTTAAAACAACTTAAGTGTGTTTTTGTGCTTGCAGAGCCTTGAATGCATTAAACAGATACGGTAATGGACCAGCAGCCAATCTGATCAATGTTCTTTTTGGAGATTCAAAACCCTCCGCTCAATCACAGCCAAGTAAGTAGTAGCTCGTTGTGCAGCACTCTGTAAACACCAATTTCAAAACCTTGCAAATCAATGAGACTAATTCTTGTTACTTTTCTTTTAAATGTCATCAGATGAAGTTGAATTCTCAAATCTGAATCTGGATGAATCCCAGAGAGAAGCTGTGTCCTTTGCTTTGTCTCAGAGAGAGTTAGCTGTGATACATGGACCTCCTGGAACCGGGAAAACCACCACGGTGGTGGAAATAATCCTGCAAGCAGTCAAACAAGGCCAAAAGGTGCGAGAAGTTAAATGTGTTAAATAAGAAACATTTTTCTCCACTGATCAGTTAGTTATATTTATGTGTCCATGTCAGCGTTTCTGTATTTGCCATTGCATCATTTCTGTCTAGACTGGTTCATTTTCATCTGGTTCTTGTGTTCGTGCAGATCCTGTGCTGTGCCTCATCCAACGTGGCTGTGGATAATTTAGTGGAGAGGTTGGCAAGGTGTAAGGCCAAAGTCCTGAGGTTGGGTCACCCTGCCAGACTGCTGGAGTCCATTCAGAAACATTCACTGGATGCCATCCTCGCTCAGAGCGATAATGCAAACATCATCACTGACATCCGTAAAGACATGGATAAAGCTTTTGTAAGTATTTTACTGTGTTCTCCTTCTAGTGTTTATGCCACCTTGGCTGGTTTGTAATATTTTATTTATTTATTTATTTTCAAGAGTGCAATGAAGAAGAAGACACACGAGAAAGGAGAGCGGTTCAATTTCAGAAGAGAAATAGGGGAGCTGAGAAAAGAGCTGAAGACCAGGGAAGCAACAGCCATCGCCCAGATCCTGAAAAGTGCTGATGTTGTCTTATCAACCAACACAGGTCAGTTATGGACTCAAGTGAAGATAAGGTTTTTCAGTTGTAGCAGTGATGATGAACGGCAATCAGAGAGCGTTTGTCTGGATTTGCAGGTGCCTGTAATGACGGCCCTCTGAAGTTCCTTCCAGCAGAGCATTTTGATTGGGTGGTGATAGATGAGTGTGCTCAGGCCCTGGAGAGCAGCTGCTGGATAGCTCTCCTCCGGGCTCGGAAGTGCATCCTGGCTGGGGACTACAAGCAGCTACCACCGACTATCAAATCACAAACGTAAAGATCAGGTTTTTATTTATTTTTTTTATTTTTAGAATTATATTCAAGATTTAGTTTTTATTATTGTCTTCAGCCAAAATGTTTCCCTTGAAAAAGTGGTTTGGGATCCAAAGCATTTCTCTAGCATTTCATTATTTATGATTTAAAAAGCAACTCCCAGGGTTGACATCAAACAAGTGAAAGGACTATAACCTACATCTGTGATCATATTTGTCCTTTCAGGTTCTAATAAAGTCAGTGAACAGAAATATATCACTCTTCTCCAACTGACCTCTTAAATCATATTAGTAACATTTAATTACAGCTCTAAACGGTTGTTTTCAGGGCTTTTAAAAGATCTCGTAAACATATTTTTTCAGTTGTTTGGTATATGTTTGTCTTCTGTTTCCCACAGCGCTGCATCAAAAGGCTTGTCCCTCAGTCTTATGGAGAGACTCATCCAGATGTATGGGGACTCGGTGGTGCGTATGCTGACGGTTCAGTACCGCATGAACAGTGCCATCATGGACTGGGCCTCCAAAGAGATGTACCAGGGAAGACTGACTGCTCACAGCTCTGTGGAGAGACATCTCTTAAAGTAAGAAGCAGCTTAGTTATAGAAAACATCTCATATTTCTATTCCAGTTTATAATAACTCACTCTAATGCCTGTTAAATTTGCTGTCATTGACCAAACAGAGATCTACCAGGAGTGACCTGTGTTGACGAGACCAGCACGCCGCTCCTTCTGATCGACACGTCAGGCTGTGGTCTGAGTGAAATGGAGGTCCCAGATGAGCAGTCCAAAGGAAATCAAGGTTAGTCTTATTTTATTGTTGAAACACAGAATGTTTTAACTGTTTGATTTGTATGGGATCTAACTGAGTGCACTGTGTCCTCAGGTGAGGTCGACATTGTTGATCTGCATGTTAAGGCCTTGACTGAAGCTGGAGTTAAAGCCAGAGACATAGCTGTTATTGCCCCTTACAATTTACAGGTAGGACACCAACTTGAGGAATTGCATTATATCTGTACTCAACTGCGACTGCTGGACCCATGTTATAAACACAATAATAATGCTAAATTTGATTTTCTTTCTCTGTAAAGGTGGATCTTCTGCGTCAGAAGCTGTCTACAAGGCATCCAGAGCTGGAGATAAAGTCTGTGGATGGATTTCAGGGCAGAGAGAAAGAGGCTGTGGTTTTGTCGTTAGTTCGATCCAATAGAAAAGGTATTTTCTTTCTCTTATTTAAGTCGTATCTGTTTCCTTAGACAATGAACTTCATCAGAATCAATCTACATTTATACAAACATATGTCTTTATTCTTTCAATTTTAGGTGAAGTTGGATTTCTGGCGGAGGACAGAAGAATAAATGTGGCTGTTACACGTGCGAGACGCCACATTGCTTTAGTGTGCGACGCACAGACTGTCAAGAATCATGCTTTCTTGAAGTCCCTGATTGATCACATGACTGAGTTTGGTGAGGTCAGGACAGCTTTTGAGTACATCCAGGATATCGTGCCACAGAATTACACCCGTGACCACAAAGACACAAATGCGCCCACCACCAGCTCCACATCAACCAAACAAAGGGTCAAAGATCAGTCTACCAGCAAGATGAAGCAAGAACAAAAGAAATCAACCTACAGCAGCAAGAAGGAAAATACTGCTGGTTCAGAGAAGCACCCAAAATCCTGCACATCGACGCAGACAAAGATGGAACAGAACAAGAACAGAGCCACTGAGATCAGAGAGCAAGTGGAGAGCTTTCTGAAGAACCTAAATCAGAGTGAACTACAATTCCCATCATCCTTCAACTCTCATGACCGCTTGCTGGTCCACCAGATTGCGGAGGAACTGGGCCTTGTGCATGAGAGCAAAGGTGAGGGGAAAGACCGGTACATCAGTGTGTCCAGGCCCCTTGAGTCAGCATCAGCCGAGGAGCCGACACAAGCAGAAAAGGAAGAGGAAACGACGATCCTGGAGGAGGAGACGAGCCACAATCCCCAAAGTGAGCGTCAGCCTGCATTCGATCTGAAAAGTTTACATTTGGAGCGAATGGAGAGGGAGCAGCAGAAAAGACAAGAACACGCTCAACAGAAAAAGCAACAAAGCAGCATCCCAGCAGCTCAGGCCCAAATATCCAAGAAGACCAAAGGTTTGATTAAAAACATCTCATTTGTAACATGTAACATCTGCCAAATGAATTCTCTTTTGTTTCTTTAACATACTGAGCCCCTAAAGTCCTCACAGGTGATATTTTTCATCTTGTGTGAGAAAAAATTATACGCTTGTTCCCACATGAAGAATATCCTGTGTGCAAAGGAAAAATATCTTGTTTGAACAAGATTATTACCTTGTGTTAATGTTGGTGAAGATTCCTGCTAATGACAATGAAAATTTCATTATGAGATTCCAAAGTGAGAATTCGATTAGCTGAGTTCTATTAATCACAGTGGATGTTTGTAACTGAAGTCATTGGGTGATATTTAAAATGTTGTGCTCACAAGATGATGAAAAACAATATATGCACATCTCTGTCTGGATTTTTGGGCTCAGAAGTAACAAGCCGTCTTTGTCATTTCTCTCCCAGGAAAGAACCGAACAAAGGCAGGCGTCTGCGATATTGCTGCTGCCGCGGCTCTAGACGATGACTTTGACACACTCATCAACGCCGTCGTGAAGGCCGAAAGTGTGTGTAGTTTCATCAAGTGTAAAGCGTCTGTGCTGACCCTCGGACAGCTCTGTATTTTCTGTAATAGACAGTACTGTCTCAGTCATCATATACCAGAGGTAAGAGGAACAAACTGCTACCAAGTAGTGGTTGGTTTGAGGTTCTAAGAAATAAGTAGAGACCGACTGATAAGGATTTTTAGTCGATACTGATATATCGGCTGATATACGTGTTTGACAATTTGACGTTATCAAACCCTTGTGACAGAAATGTGATAGAGGCTCGATATTTACAGGTAAACTTAATTATTAATAAATATAAACAAAAAGACAACACAAATATATACAATTTGAATCAAGAGAAACATTAGTATTACATTTAATGTCTCTTCTGCTTTTTTATTCTGCAAAACAAAGTTCATAAATGCTGATAAGCTGAATGCTGATATGTGTGAAAAGTTCATATCCGTCAAGCTCTAATAATATGTGTGTATACTGATATTTCACCACAAGTGACAGTTTTTATCCAGAAAGTGTGAAATGTTGTGTTTTTCCACAAATCTATTCATCAGTCCTTTTTTTTTCAGGTTCACGGATGCGGAGAAAAAGCCAAGTCTCATGCTCGGATGAGAATAAGTAAAGAAGGCGTTCTTTATGCCGGCAGCGGGAAGAAAGATAAATCCATGGACCCTAATAAAAAAGCTTATCTGCAAAGAAAACTGGATTCTAAACTGAAAGATATGGCATCACAGAGGAAAACCAAAAACAAAGAAAAGGACACTTGATGCCACAGAATTCAATCTAATTTTGAAATGTGTCTAAAATTAAGCAAATCAAATATTTGAAAGAATCTTGTGTCATAAATGATACATACATTGTACTCCAATGATCTGGTGTCATTCAGTTTGCTGCTGAATTTCTTGTGTGAATTACGTTTGTCAGATATAAAAGCTTTCACACTCCTTCTGTCAAACAGTGTCCTCATTGCTTGTACAGAGATGTGTCTCCTGTATGAGTCTATTTTACATCCAGAGTTATGGTCAGAGGACAGATTGTCAATGGGCTGGAGACTTTCCCCTCCTCATACAATCCTGTGGAGATGTAGGGGAAAATCTTCTCTGTAAATCTATCTCTGAATGTGTGTATTGTCGTCATATCAGCAGCGTTGATGAACACCACCTTTCCTTTGTCGCAGTCCAGCACCACAGTGATCCTCTCAGGCCTCAGCTTCAACACCAGCTTGGTGCGAGGTGAGGTCTCAGCCCAGAACGAGTCTCCCTTACACAGGCCCATCACCCAGAAGCCCTCGGCAGGGTTGAGGAAGACGGTGGTCTTCCTCTGGACGGACTCTCGGGCCACTCCGATGTACCAGTCTTTGTTTTGGCCCACCTGCACTGTCCAGGTGTGCCTTCCAGATGTGAAGCCGGCGGCTCCGAGCACACACAGGCGGCTGGTGCAGCGTTCAGGGTTGTCGGGGAGGAGCTGCCTCCTGCTGTACTGCACACAGGTCAGTTCTTCAGAGAACTCTAAGTTGGGGTGGGCTGTGTTTGGGTCCAGAGTGATGGGAACTGAAAGTAAAAAATAATGTTCAGGAGATTGAATTTCAAACAGAATCAGCAACTTAAACTTTATAACGTGTTGTTCACCCACCATATTTAAATATCTTGGACATACTCTCACAAATTCCGAACTTGAGCGTCCCCAGATGCTTTGCAGTGTTTATCAGTATGTCTCTGATACACTCCGGCTCTCGGATGCTGCATTTGACCCTGAAACATTAGATTGATTTTACTGATGATTGTCTGATGGAGATGTGGAGCAGATTTTAGCAGACCAGAGGTTGTGCATACCTTTTCTTTGTCTTCTTGTAGTCCTTTATTTGAACAAAGAAAGTGGAGAAATACTTCTTGTTAATGAAGCGTGGGTTTTAGATTCATTACACATAGAATGAGCTTAAGTCCAGTATCTCAAACTATTTGAATATTTAACATCATCATTAAGGGGACAGTCAGGCCTTGACAGAGGTGTGTGCTCTACTGAGAGCACACACCTCTGTGCCCCACCTCTGTGCCCTCAACTCTAGCTTTTTTGTCCATGCGTATGTTGGTGTGGTGAGACTTTTTTTTTCCATATATTGACCTAAGAAATAGCACATGTTCTGAACCTTTGTCCACTTGATCAGTTTATGGTTTGGAGTCAGAGTTCAGAACTTCCTCTTTTCACCAGTGCTCAGGTAAACTGTGATAATGTTGTGTGAATGACGTCTGAAGCCGTACCTGCAGAAATGGTAGATCCTTCCCTCTCAGAGCTGCCTCCATGTCCCTGATGATTGATGTGACTCTTTTGATCTGGTCCTTGATGTTTGCCAGCTTTTCACACATCACCTGGGTCTTGACTTCCTCTTCCTGTTTGAGCAGCTTCAGCCGCGTCTTCTCCTCCTCCCAGAGGAACTGGTGCAGCTTCTGAAACTCCTCCTTTATTGCCTTCTCGTTTTGATGAGCTTGGGTCTGCAATATCAAAAAGACTTCTTGTTTATAGAAGTGAGAGTTTGCTGAATGTGTCTAGCAGGTCACACCAGGTTTCAACATTTGAACAGACCAAATACTGAAATCTAATCAGGAACCAGAAAGCTGATGTAATGAGTGAATGTGTTCATTTCTTACCTGTATGTAAGTTTTTGTTTCTCTCCACTGCTCCTCTGTCTTGTTCAGGGTTTTGAGCTTTTTCCTTACGGACTCCAACAAGGTAGAAATTTCAACCTGACATGGTCACAGAACAGAGAGCTGAAAGAATTAGTTTGTTGATGGAAAAGTAATCGACAACTTGATAATCAATCACATCATTTCAACAAAAATGATTTGTGGCTCAGAGGTTATAGCGGTCGTCCCATAAATAGAAGTTTGCCGGTTCAATCCGAGTCTTCCTTCGTCCGCATGCTGAAGTGTCCTTGGGCAAGATACTGAACCCAAAATTACAACTACAATCACAGTAGCAGAAAATCCAGTATTAAATCCAATAACTAATTCAATCCTGTGTTTGTTCTGTTGTGCACATAACCCCCTGGCTTCTATTCTGACTCTACCTTTTTCTGTTTAGCAGCCTCTTCTACTGGGCAGCACTCGTGCACTTTATGCTGTTTTGACGTCTGGCAGACGAGACACACGGGCTCCTCGTCATTCTGACAAAAAAGTGTGAGCTTCTCATTGTGCAAAAAACAGATGTCTTGATCCCTGCTGCTCCCTCGCAGTTGATATTCATCTGCAGCTATCTTTAGAGCCAGATTGATAGGAGGTCTCGCAGGGGCACACACAGTGCGACACACCGGGCATTCTCGACATCCCTTCCATTCCCAGAATTTGTGTAAACAAACTCTGCAAATATTGTGTCCACATTTCAACAGCACAGGAAGACAATAAATCCCAGAGCACTGGGGACATAATAAGTCCTCTTCCACGAGTAGGTTCGCTGCTGCCATCGGAGAGAAGAGTTCCTGTAAAGTGAAGTTACAGGAAACAAAAATGACTTCCTTCTCCTCAGGTGTTGTGACATCACAAAGTCCAACCTCGAACCCTTCAGCTGATACTGATAAATGTTGGCAAACTTGTACGACTGGTTAAGAAGGTATCAAGACTTCCACATGCTGTATGTTTGTATGTTACAGCAAGGTCGTATGTCACTTGCTTGGTTCACACATTAACATATTTCAGCATCTATACATGCTTTATGAATATATTTAAGTTTATATAAAGCATGTTTAAAAACAACAAATTGAAAATAATAAATAGCATTAAAATCAGAAAGTAGTAACACTTAAATTCACTTTTACTTTATTTCCCATATTGAAACGTCTCCACATTTGACACATGGATTAACATTGTTTGACTTGATGCATAAATATATTAACAAATGCATTTTAGTCAAGCCTCTAAATCATGTAAATCAGCTATAAACTATAAAAACAACAATTCTTCATGTATTAAACTGAGTTATTACTGCATTAGTCCTCTGAGGAGGAGTGAAAAACAGAGGTAGTTTAAACTGTTAAAAGATGAGCAGCTGTGCTGTTGGTAAAAATCTTTTCGGCACCTCAAGAACAAACAGTGAAAAGAAAGTAGCCGTGTGTTACACTGACAGGTAAACACACAGTCGTTCTGGATGCAGTGACCCTCGAACAAAGAACCAGGGGCTCTTCCTGTGTTCTTACCGTGAGAAACGTAAGTGCTTGTGCAGTAAAGGTAAATGTGTCGTGACTCTCGACTTATGATGGAAGAGAGAAAACAATACGTGTGAAACTTTAACGCTAAAGATTTGTGTTTTTCTCAACTTTGCCTGAAGAAATCAATTTGTCAAAAAGTTTGTTTAAATAATTAATTAATTCATAATTTAATTCATAAATAAATAAATAATATTTGTACCACCAACTCTCTGATTATATAAGTATAATTCACTTTTTGAAGAAAACCTAAAGTATATGAAGAACTTTGATTAAGTAATGATGATTTAGTCGTTTTAACCAAATCACAAAATGTTTAAAATATACAAAGGAATATGAAGGATAAAGCCACTGAATATTATGAAATACTATAACAAACAGTTACATAAATACAGTTACATGGATACCAGTTGGATCGATATAATCCAACCTTGTTGCTCGGCGCTGTAAATATCACATGCCACATTTGAACACAATAGCTCAGCTTTTTGGCTTTCGCCATTATTCACAAAATGCCTTTGCAAGAAAATGATCTCAATGTGACGACTGAGATCTGTTGACTATTATTTCATATTTACATACAACTACAAATGTGAAAACACACCATTAAACAGTAACTCCTCTGAACAATCAATTGTTATTTAGAGGTTTCCTTCCCAACAATATTTCTTCTTAAACTATGACAGTTGAAGTGAGAGTTAAGAGTTAATTAGTTTCCAGAAAAGGAATTTCATTGAACACAATGTGTGTTGATCTTGCTCCTCACTCTTTGCGAAGAAGGGAAAAAAAACAGCTGCATGGACACATTTTGTAAAGACATACTAGTTTTTGAATGGTTAAGAGATTTTAGTTAGTTGTAGGTTTTACAAAACACCTCAAATAAATCAAACGAGAGATTTACACACAAAATATACTAGAAAGAGATGTACTACAAAAGAGAATGTACCCAAATATAATAATAAATATAACAATTATGAAATCAGTCATGTGTCTGTGTTCTGAATTAAAAAAATCTGTTGTGTAAAGAAAAAGCTGATGTGGTGTAAAAAGTGATTTTAAAAACAAAGATGACTGAGATTTCACTGAATTCCTCCAAAGATCTTTTTATCTTAATTTTTCCTAAACAAATCTAATGCACAAAATAGCAAATACACTAAGTTATAAATGCTCTTTGGACAAATGCTCCAAATGTTCAGTCATCACAAACATTGTGGTAGTGTAGGTTCTTTCTTCTTCTGCTTATATGTTGAAATATAACTTCAGTCTGTCACAGACTGACGTCTGCACATAAGATGGATGCCTGGATCGTGACCTCAGAGCTTCACTCTGGGACGCTCTGGGTTCAGTTCAGCATCAGAGCAGTAAATCGTCATTACTCCTCAAACATCTTCAGCGCATCCCGGGGCTGCCTGCTTCTCTCAGATCAGTCAGGCGCCTGTGAGGCATCACGCTGTGTCTGCAGATCCAACGCACAAACACGTTGCACCAATCAAACAAATCCAGGCTTCATGGACGACTTGAAACATTTAGGACAACCTTTCGTTCCATTTGTCTGCAGACACCTGAAGAGATAAAAGAGCACAGGGTCAACAGCCTGAACACATGTCAAAATAAAGTACTGTGCATATTTGATTTCATCTGTAACTGGATTTATTCTAGAAACTAGATGTGAAAACCTGCCCTGAAGCTTCATTTGGAGGAAAATGTATTTATGAAAAGCATTTCAATAAAAAACCCTGTCAAGAGTTTGGGTTATTGCACAAGTCAAAAATAATAAAAGGCAAGATCACGCACTTGAGATGGAAAATGTGTGAACAGGGCAAGGACTGCAGCTTTTGGTCCCTGTCCCCGATGGACTCTCCACACATGCCACAGTAGAGCTCCAGCTCCTCGACACACTGCAGGAACTTCACCACCTGCTCTCTGAGCTTCTCCTCCTGCCCCCGGCTCCGATAAATCCCCTCGCTCAGGCAGTGAACCTTCAGTGTGCACAGCTGGACATAAACACAGGAAGAAGACTGTTAACAGGACACGTACTGCGATATCAGAAGTAAACCTGAGCCATTTGTCCTGTAGGTTGTAATTAAAGAGCATCAGATACCTTGTTTCCCATTCCGTCTGCTAACTCCTGAGCTCGCTGCAAAGAATCAAGAGCCTGGAAGGGCAAAGTGTGAGAGACACCATAAACAATACTGATTAACAGTAAAATACAACTAAAATAGCTGTGTCAACACTGATATTTTTTTAAAACTGTATCAAAAGCATCACATTACACAATATTAGCCTGACAATTTAGTGCTTTTGTATTTTTTTATTTGTTTCATTATGTTTTTGATAGATATTTGTGAGGGATTTCAGGAGTCTGGAACCAGGCTTTTAGTTTTATTTAATTATAGGTACCTTGTCAAATTCTTTCTGCAGAAGCCAACACTTTGCGACGCCCAGATAAACATGTGCTTGTCCGAGACGGTTTCCGATCTCTGTCATGATACCCAGTGCAGACTCGTAGCGAGGGAATGCTTTCTGGACAAAAGCAAATAAATAACAAATAAATACATATGCACGTGGACGAAAGACCTTAAGAACTTTGCACTAAGAGAGGCTCCTTACATCAGAGTCCTGCCTGCAGCGGTGTATGTCTGCAAAGTTTACCAAGCACAGAGCCTGCAGAGGACGGTCGCCGTGCTGCAGAGCAATCTTCATAGATTCCTGTAGGAGCAGGAGACAATAGGTGATTAAAACAAATCACAGTGGAGCTCAGTGACACAAACAGACTGCTGTGCACCTGCTAAACGTTTTGTATTTGATTTCTCATTACCTGCACCAAGGAGCTTAATTAAGTTTAGTCTGCATTTGTTTGCTTGTTAGCAGGATTACACAAAAACTACTTAAGTGATTTCCATGAAAACTCTCATCAACACATCAGGGATCCAGGAATTGTTTCCACTTTTTTTAACATTGTGAGATTTGTTTGTTGATTTCTCAGAGTAAAAATCTGGATCTAGTGAATTTAAATGTTTCAAAAGGAGATGGTTGGACTTTGGTGGTGGTATGCTGTGTATAAATAATCAAAATATACTGAATCTTAATTCTCAATCTGTCTGATTTATTCTATTTAACGAAACAATTCTTCATATTGCTTTTGTTTATACTTTAAGAACCAAATTTTTACCAATCATAAGAATAACATGTAAAAGTAACTGAAGCTGAAGACTGTTATAAACCGCAGCTACACGTCATTCAGTCATTTTATTTTGTACTTTCAGTAGCATATTTCTATATGAGCCACAATGAGAAGAGACCTCATCCCTCTTTCATTCTATGATGACAAGATGTGTAATAATGTAAGATGTTTGTCTGAATGTGTTGGCAAATGTGATAAAGCTGAAAGGTATCCTCTTGTCTTCTTACTATAAGTCTACGCTCCAAGGCAATGACATCCAGTTATTTTTCACCCTGCATACAGAATTAGAACAGAGTGGGGCCTTAAGCCACCCTCTTCATTAACACTTTAAACCAGCGCCTCTGTGAGCATATTTCTGTCGAGATCTGAGGCCTCGTACGACACAGCAACTGGCGCTCACACCTGTTGGCAGCACAACATCTACAGTATCTGTGGCTCCGGCGAGTTTGTTAAGGAAACCAAAACGGTGACATTCTCTGCACATTGTGTAAGTTTGTCTCCGAGGACTGCAGTCGTGTGTTGGGCGGTTATAAAACAATACCTCACAGCACTCCATGGCATCTGGCAGGCGCTCCAGTTTCCTGTAGGCGACAGACATGTGGTACTGGCTCATGGCTCGATACTTGAGGCTCCAACCCTTGCCGTAGTCATTGACGAGCTCAGCTGCTTTGCAGGGGAAGAAGAGGGCTTTCTCATAGTCCTGTTGGCAGATGTGAACAAGTAAGACCTTAGATTTCTAATTATGGCCCACAATTAGCACATTTAGATTGTTCTCCCGGGACGCTTGGTTTGCAATTCTTCTCCTGTGATGGGTCAACTTTTGACAAAAAATGTGGTTGTTTGCTAAAGTATCACTAACAGGCATATTTAGTTTTTGTTTCTTTAAATAATGTGATGCATGAGTGCATTCTTCAAAACCCACTTCATCACAATCCCATTGAAACCGATCCTCCCCGGGAAGTCGAGGGATTACTCTTACAAATCTCTGATGTCAAGGGTACTACATAAGCCCCCCCACACCTCTCCTGCAGCCAGCCCACTCACTCTGCCTTTGTTTTACAATGCCCAGCACTACATGAGCTAACCATTGATGATGTTTGCTCGGATGCTCTGCAGTGTTATCATACTCTACAAATACACTGGCAACATCAGTACCAACTGCACAATCAAGTCACACGTGCAACCTGAATAACAAACCTCAGACGTCTGCAACCATCTGAGTATTCACAAGCTTTTATTCAGCTTCCTGATCTAAAATGTCTCATACAGGAGCAAAGGCAAAGACTGTTTATCATCGGAGCACAAATTAAGATTATCAAAATAACATTTACAGCTGCATGTAGAAGAATACAATCTCATTTCAGTAAAAGCAGAATATAGAGTACCTTCAGATGGATGTAGATGTTTCCCAGACTGCAGCAGACTCTGCATTCCAGCATCTTGTCGTCATTGTTGTGGGCGTAGCGCAGGGCCTTCTCGTAGCTCTCCAAAGCTTTCTGGAAGACACTGAGGCCCAGGAAGGCGTTGCCCATGCTCAGACATACCTGTCCATTGAGCTGCAGACTGACAGTGGTGCCCTGCATGTTTAAGCAGGTCTTACAGTAGGAGACGGTTTTCTGGAAGTCGCACAGCTTCTCGTTGCTGCGTGCCAGATTCAGGTAGCCCTCCGTCAGGTAGTCTGGATCCTCCATTTCTCTGGCAGTGTCGATTTGATCGAGGGCATACTGCGGAGGGAGCACAATAGTCAGTTTAGTCTTCAATTCATTCAAATATCCGTTGTTCAAATCGTCTGATGAGGTCAAAGACATAAGGACGATACTTTATAAAGTCCTGTGGGATGGTTATGTCAACAAGACACCCCACACTGATACTCAGGTTGCAGGGCACTTATTTACTCTGCGTCGTGTGGAAGCCACAAATTAACCCATGCTTCACTAGATCATTGCAAATGGAATGAAAAGAAGTGACCTTCGACCTCCTCTCCGACAATCATCACATGGACGCTGCAGAAATATTGCTACAACAGCATTTGGCTGTAGCAATCCCAGGCAGATATGATGACATATAAAATTGTTGAGATGTGCAGTGGCATTGACTCAAACACACACACACACACACACACACACACAATACTGCTGTTTGCACAACCTGAAAAATGATCGGAGTGCTAAAAATCTGAGTGATGACTTTTCAGAGGTCCGTTTTTCAGAGTACGGATGTTAATGAACGTTTGATTCAAACACTGCTTATATCCACATTTTCCCAGATTAAACCTTTTAAGAAATGCGACAGTAAAACTTATAAGATGTTATTTGGTTGATTACATTGCATGAAGTTGTTGTATGTATTATACGACTTCTTCCGAGGCTTACCTTGAGCATATCTGTATATTTTCCCATCTCAGAGTGAGCTGTGATCAGGCACCCCAGAACCCGAAACTTCCCTCCAGGATCTGAGGTCTTCTCCAGCACTTTTGTCCACACATGCAGGGCTTTGTCTGTCTGGTTGGACTGATACAGCTTCAGGCCCTTCTCTATCTGCTGCTTGGTTTGGTCCTGGCCCATCTCTGGTGCAAGGCGCCTCATAAAAATATTCATTCGTTTAGGCCATGCAATTTCAGTGAGGCAGCAAGAAAGTAGATCCTTGCCATGCACAGTACAACTCCAAAGATTCCTTGAAGATGATCCTGCGAGAGGACGGTGCCAGGAGGCCTACCGGATCCCGCTCTCTCAGCTCCGACTGTGCTGAGATGGAAAGGAAACTGGATCCGTTGAAGTAAAACGGCGACACCCCAAGATCATTATCACCAATCGCTTTGTGAAGAGCGGGAGTGCCAGAAAAATATCTTCCCCATTTAACCATGCAGCGATCCCTACTCACCATCAAGTGTTCAAAAATTCTGCGTCGGATTTCCGTTTGAAAAACGCCAAAGAAACACGTTTCCCAGTGGAGTGCTAGCAGTGATATCCCAGAATATCTACTCCCTCCACACCCCAGCGAAAGGAATCTCAGCACCCCCTCCACCTTCCTCCTACTGCTGGCGCTACAGCAGATGGCCTTGTCACTCTAGACCATGTGTCCCTTCAGGAATTCTGTCCTGCCCTCAGTAAGCAGTCCCAAGGTCACTACAGCTCCTAGCGATCTGCCTTCACTCTAAACCTCACTTACTGACCAAACGATGTATGATAACTTCACATCTCAACCCTCTGAGGCATTAAAAACACTCATCCACAAACAGATCTGACCAGACTCACACGTGTGGGATTGTGGGCTTTTATACCAGGGCTATACACGGCTTTATTTCCAAACATTCAGGCTGTGTGTGTCAGATGGTGCTGGTAGCGATCGTCAACTCCAATTGGGATTTCTTATGGAGGCGCATATGTGCCCCCAGAAACCCCCACCCCTCATCTCGGCGTCAGCAACTGATGCTTAGAATAGTTCACCAAGTCTGACATGTCACTGGGTTTGGGTTTCAGTCTCCACAGCCTCCTGAAACACATCAATGGGATCAGAGTTCTGGACTGTCTGTAGTAGCTTTCTCTCCTTCAAACAGACCCCCCACCCAATCCCATCACAGCCCCTCTCCACGCCCCAAGGACACAAACAGGCACCTTTTTACCACCCCTCCATTCACAAGTTTCATTAGTAATCCTGAGATAAATACAGCTGGAGGTTATGCCTTTGTTTCTTTCACAAGCCACACAGCGACCAAGTGAACCATTTCTAAATGCATTACTGTACAATTGCAACAATGAAAGATGCTAAACCTCGGGCAATAAACATAGTATTAGTAGTAAGAGATGGTTAATGCCTATAGGCTTATGGGTCATAAACAAACAAACAGTATTAATGTGTAGCTACAGCGATATATTTGTGATTGACATTAACAGCTTCACTTGACATTTACATCTTACATAAAAATTAAAAAAAAATCTTAAAACAAGAAACTGGCATCGTTTGAAAAATTAGAAAATCCTTCTTTAGCATGATTATGCACAGACTTCAAATATGTGAGGATATTCAGCCAACATCATCAAGATACACATGACCACAAATACATTGAAGGATGTTTGATGCTCAGTGTTTTTTACACTGAAGTTGTTCATGCGTGTCATTATTAAGCAGTGAGCAAGAAACAATGTTGATGACTTCATCACTGGTTACGGTACTGCCACAATCTTCTCAGCTAAATGATCCACGATGAGACACACTGTACGCTGTCAGCGACACACACCACTGTACTGTTTTTACTGGTCGGCTGAATGGAATGAGTGACACAGAAACCAGCTGAGTAAATACATTTAGCTCAGGTCTTCACACAGGATGTCTGAACGGTGAAGTCATGGAGAGTCATCCATTAGTCTTTCCTGATTCTCTGTGGTCAATGTGATGACCACAGTGTGAGCATACAGAGGACAGGTTAGGCCAAGACAAACTGCCAGTTTGTGAGCAGGATTTTTATCCCTCTGATAACAGAGACGACAGACGTAGCCGGGTTAAACTTTAGTGTGTTTGCGTCACCTTTCTTACATTTGTCCCTAAAGACATATATGCAGCCATTGCAGCTGGCCACCTTCCACAGAGAGGGGACGCAGCTCCACACCTCAGGGAAGCGCAGGCGGGTGAAGCTCTCCAGCAGAGGGTTGTAACACACCAGGGAGTCTCCTTCTGCTACGATAAAGATCACATCCATGTGAACAGCAGCATGCATACAGCCGGCGAATGGCAGCATGTAAGGTTTGATCTGACACTTCTGGGCGGAGGTGTCAAAGCACTGAATGAGACGGGATGGCTTTGTAAAAAAGTCCATATCATTCTCTTCACCTCCAAGCAGGTAGATGGTTCCTCCCAAGTTGACCGCAGCCGCCCCTGATACTGCAGTGTCCAGCTGGCTGGTCTCTGTCCACATGTTGTCCTTCACCGTGTAGTAGATGACGGCATTAGAGAGTGTGTCCTGCAATGTCTTACCTCCGAGTGAGTAGATAGCATCCTCTGTAGAGACAGAAACCATAGTGTGGTGGAGGCGGTCTCTGGGCAGTGGGGCGCAGCGCTCCCAGTCCATGGTATGCATGTTGCACTTCCACATGCGGCGAGGTATAGACCCCCCCACCACGTACAGGTCGCCTCCGTGTTTACAGGCTGCAGTGATCTGATGGCATAAACTGTTCTGGCCACTCACGCTGATCGCATCGTCCTCGTCACAGTGAAGTGACACAGCCAGGGAGTGAGTCCTCGTCTCCTCTTTACCGATCAGGTAGATATGGACCTTCTCACCAATTTCCTGTGGACGAAGAAGATGAGGAGATATCATTTATCACAGATACAAATTATTTTATTGGACATTTAAGCGTCTTCTTTAAAAGAAACAAAACATTTTTCTCTTGAAAATAAGATGTCACCTTGAGATTTTCTTGGAGGATGCAAGAAAACTCTTCTCTCTCCACCTTGTTGTGGTTTATCCACGACTCGATTGCCAATGTTGGATTCTGGGAGCTCGGAACACCATCTGATCACAAACACAAGACGTTTTGAATCTTATTCATGGAGCTCCTCGATTTAAATCAACAAATGTTTGCTGTTTCCACTACACGATAACAGAGTCAAGACTTTTCAAACTGATCCATAATATGATGATATGCATTACCATGAATAAAAGCAGAGATAGACAGAATGGACATATTGTTGGCATGGTAAATTAACAATCTGAAACTGATTTCAATCCTTTTACTTCTTAATTTACACTATACAAAATACATTGAAATCAAAGGTTTTGTGAAATGGTATCAAAAAAAAATTCAAACACGATAAAAACTGATTAAAAGGGGAATGAATAGGAAAATAGATAACAGTAATGTTAAGTTTGTCTGTTTGTGTAGTAAACACATACATAACAAACAGAGTGGCAGTAATACCTTTGATTATATCCAGGAGCAGACAAAGAGGCAGATTTAGAAATTCTTCAGTCTGATGCAGTTGGGCCAAGTGGATTTTAGCACACTGCTTGGCAGCAGTGTACAACTCCTGGTCACTGTGTCTGTCTGCAAGCCACATCACCTGCACAGAAAAAACAAACGTTAATGACAAATCTGATCTGACATAATCATTGCTAAATCTTAAAACATTGTTAGATGTGTGAAAGTGACAGTGACTCACCTGCAGGCAGCTCTTAACCTCCACTGTCCGCGAGAGGAAACGGGAGCATTCCTCAAACAGAGCAGTCAGCTGGTACATGTCTGCCATCTCATAAGTGTCCTGCAGCTCCTCCACCCTCAGCTTAATTGTGCCATGGTAGATGTAGTCAATCAGCAGCTGGAAGACAGTGGCGCTCACATCTTTCAGCTCAATTGCGCGGTTGTGTGACTCTTTTAAGTTTGAGGTGAACATGGAGCGAAAGAAGCTGCTCTGCGCTGAGAGCACAAGTCGGTGCAGGTGAAACTCTTTGCTGTCCACGGTGATGGTGACATCAGCGAACAGGCCGTCCTCTAGACACAGGTCCATGATGCTCTTCACCACCCGGCTGGAGTGGGAGCGGTCGGTGAAGGTGTATCCCAAGAAGTAGTTCTCCTCTCCCACTGAGCCGCCGACACTGAGGCCCCCCTCCTCGCTGGACTCCATCTTTGCTGCTCGGCCGAGAAAAACAACAGACAGCATGTTAAGTCTTGAGTCTATCAGAAAGAGAAGCAGAACTCAAACCCCTGGTCACTGAGGTTATAATCAGTTTTATTCGACTTTGGGACCATGACATACACAGGGATGAAGAAGACATTTAACAAGGACAAAATGAGCTTGGTAGAAATCTTTAATTGGCAAACCATTACAATAACAGTTTCAACAACTTCCTGTTTGCTTATCATGTGATATGACGAGGGAATACTCCTAAATGAATGTAGGCGTGGTTGAATTATCCCTCTAGCTTTGGTGTTGATTTAATGGTGCAGCTCCAGTGCTGCTAAATTATATTTAGTTATAAATCATTTCTCCATTGTATTCAACTGGGAGAGACCAAATATTATCCATCAGTAAAACTACATGCAGCAATAATAAGAATAATAAGAAACAGACATTACAACCTTTAAAATCACCACAAAGTTCAATTAATAGCACGCGATATAATTTAAATAATAGCGACTTCATCGTTCACAAGTGCAGGGTTTACTGTTTCAGCATTCACTGATTGTTATGATTAGCCAGCTAGCGTTAGCATCGGAGGCAGCTAACTGGCTAGAGCTCCTTCTCGCGTGAAAGTTCATTCGTCATATTGTGGAAGTAGAGATTTCAACACTAATGCGCAGGAGCAACGAGAGACGTGAAGCTTCACCGAGAAATAAAAACAAGACGAGTTACCTTCTGTTATCTTCACTACTTTATCATCCAGGACCTCAGGCTGCACTCTGCACCGGAAGTCAATACACTCCACTCACCGGCATCGTCTGCTGCAACTGCCCCAGTGTGGCGGAGCTGTGTTACTACAGGTGGCATGTTACTTTGCTCACGGATATCAATAGATAGATAAATACACCGGTGACTTTATTAACTCGGAAGAAATTGTAAAAGTACTGTTTTTCAAATACCACTGTGCAATATCATATATGTAGAAAACCTCTGTTCAGTCCTGGATGTTTCCAGGTAAAGTAACAAGGTTCCTTCGATAATACATTTCACACTATCTGCAGGGAGATAGTTTGTCACTGCTCTGGTCAGAAATGACATGAAAGCTCAGAGCTCATCCTCTCAGACTTTTACAGCTTGATTAGCAGCAATAAATCTCATGTGTTAAGTGAAGGTGTATCCCAAGAAGTAGTTCTTGTGATATAAAATGTTGAATTTTGACAATGACAACCGTGAATTTAGTGAAAAACTTAGAAAGATTGTAAAACATATTTTAAGTGTGAATTAGTGCAGGTGTCTTTCAGTCCAGAGCTTACATCAACTTCTGAATGAGGTGTCTGTAAATGTTAATGAGGGATTTGGTTGGAAGTAATAAGGATTTATTAACATTTACTCATTTTAAATACTAACCCCTGCATAAAATGATGGAACCAGAAATACTTGCTTACTTAAAGGTACAGTGTGTAGGATTTTGTGTATATCTAGTGTTGAAATTGCATGTTGCAGCTGAACGCCCCTCACCTTACCCTCCCCTTCCAAACATGAAAAATAACCTGTGGTAGCCTTCAGTTGTCACAAAAACCTGAAAGGTGTTTAGTTTGCCCAGTCTGACCTAATGTAAAAAAACATGGTGGCCTCCGTAGAGAGGACCCCCTCAAAGTAAATATAAAGTATTTAAATATAAAGGGCCTTTTAGAAAATTACAATTCATACAATTTAGATGAAACGAATCAGTGAAAACATCATGATGATTATTCTGCATTTGATTTCTGCCAATAGATCCCTTTCACCTAAATCTTACACACTGGACATTTAAGTCTTTCTTTCTTTGACTTATTTGTGGTGAATGAGAAAGACCCTCACTTATAAATACACAGGGAAATCTCTCCTTCAAGTACAGCTTTAACTGATATTAACTGACTTTTAAACAAATGGTAAATGGTCTGTATTTATATAGCTTTACTAGTCCTGATTGTTCACTCAAAGCACTTAACAGTACAGCACTTTCTCTATGAGAAGGGGTAATTTGGGGTTGATCGAACCACGACCGTCTGGTTAGAGAATGACCGCTCTAACCCCTGAGCCACAGCTGCCCCCAACAGCAAAGGGTGAATATGTCAGTTTGCTCTGTGAACTTCTTGTCCTGCTAACTAAAATGGGTGGATACCAGGAGGAGGCCTATTGAAAAAATGAATGCCGTCTGCTCTGCATCACAAGCCAACTGGCTTTTGCTCCCTTTTTCCAAAAAGGAAAAATGCTCGGTATTTAGTGAGGTTCCTCTGCTTGGATTCACTGAGGTGGTTGAGGGAGAGCAGAGGTGAGAGGGATGTGGTGGACTATCTTTCGCTAATAATCAAGACGAGTAAACACGATGAAACTACAACTTAAAGTCTGCCTCCAGGTCTTTTTGTGGCTTTGGTCAGAACAAGTGCTGCGAGGTGAGTGGAACAGAAGACTTCTATCCACAGAGCTGTGGATAGAAAGTAAAACTGTTGTGTTTTCTAATCAAGCTGCAAATATTGCGCATTATGCTTTACAGCTAAAAAACATGTGATTTGCACTGATAGGTAATCTTCAGTAACTTCAGTTTCATTTAGGTTGCTGTTAAACTTCAGTATTTTTCTACTTAAGATGTGGCTGCAGGCACAAGTCCAACTTCTAAAATGACTGACTCAGCAGTGTCTGATGCAAACCTGATGTTTGAGGTACTTTGTATAAAAAACATCTTCCTGCAGTTAAATTAAATATATCTCAACATATTTTACTCGACTTAGTGTCGGATGCTTCTTTTATTCTCCTATGAGCAGTTCCTGCTGGGCGGGGTAGAGGTCGACCAGGATAAAAACATCATCCTGCTTGATAAGGAGATGGCATCGATGAGGTCGGGGCGGGTGTTCCTGTCTAAGATCAATGATAACATTCCCAGAAAGCGTGACTCCATGGTGCAGATGGTGAATGGGCTGGAGGAGCGGAGGACGAGGCCAATGACTCAGACGAAGTTTGATATTCTGGTCCTGAGCATGGTCTACTCTGCCCACCAGGCCTGGCAGCAGGAGAGAAGAGAGGAACAGGCGGCCTGGGGCAGGGTGCTGCTCCAGCTGGCGAATGTTACGGTCCACGAACTACGAGGAAATTATCTCTTCAGTTATTCTTAATACACCGACTGCCAGTCAACATGAAATAAAGGAGCATGTAATAAACCGCCTGCCTTTAATTGTCCTGTATTTTATTGTGTATTTATTCATTGTATCAGTGTGTATAAACAAAATACTGAACTATTACAGAAACCTGAACATTTTTATTGCTGAACATTAGAAAAACATCTTTGAAAACACACAAAAGTAAGAGAAAACCTGAAACATCCCAACAGTCCCTGCAGAGACAACAACAAACAAAGGAATGTAAATGTGAGTTTCTTTTAAAGTCCCGAATATTTGAAAGTTCACTTCTTCCTCATCTGAGCTTGTTTTTGTTTTGTCTTGGTCTTGGTCTCACATTCTTCCAGAGAAGCCAGTTTCCTCTTCAGCTTTGCATCCACAGCCGGACCTCTCCGTTCCTTGTTGGTGCGCGGCCGACTCCTCCTCTGCCGTCTCAGACTTTCCACTGAGGCTGAGGCGTCCTCCTGCTGCTGCGTGTCCCCATCACGTATCAGTGACTCGTTCCTGTCCCAGACTAGAACCGTCAGGCCTGCGAGTCAACACGATGCAGCTTTGGTCAAACAATCCAACATTTTCTCACACTGATTTAAATCAAACAATCAGATAACAATGGTGCTGCTGAAAAACTCACCCATTCCAGATCCAATCACATCACCCATGAGATTGAATTTGTTAATCTGGAAATACAAAATTGTTTAGTTTTAGTGTCTTGACATTTTTCTCTGGTGTTTTTTAGTGCAGTGCCTCATCTAAACAGGCTTTCATCATGATGACAACGTTACTTATGTTGACCAGTCCCAGCTGCTGCTGCGACGGCGCACTGGTCGCCTGTTTAATCAATGTTTATTAATATTGAACACATCGGATGTCTAAATCATACCAAAATTGACGCAGCACTTCTTTGGGCCCTGAACAATAAACATGTGAATTGTGTAGTTGAAAAGATGAAGATGTTCTTGGCATATGTGAGCCACAGATAGCAGACAGAGATTTGTGGAATAGCTGTACTCACAGATTTGATCCCTGACACAGTGGGGTCGTACAGCTGATACACAAGCTCTGCTGTGTTGGAGTCATAGATGTCGATGGTTCTCTGGTCACCTGAGCAAACACGGTCGTCAGGGTAGCGGCCGGCCACAATCAGGTCGTACACCGGGTGCCATGTTGCCTACAGAACAATTAGAACAGTATTGTATATTCACCAATGGAATGTTTACAATCAAACCCCAATGACTGAGCACATACAAATAATAACATATTTCTTAACATAGCACATTTCTTCAAATACCACCTGCTCCACTATTATCTGTACATGAATATTAATATCACTGTTTATTATACCCATTTCTACACAGATGACTCTGCTGAATAGTCATTTGCCATGATGGCTTTAATTTTTCCAAGACATCTCTAATGACAATTAACATTAAATTGCCAATAAGATGAAATGTGTTTAGTCAAAAGAATGAGTCATTTCACTGTCACTCTAACAGCTGGTGCTAAAATAATAATAAACAGGTGGAATTTAATTAGATGGCTGTAACACACACACACACACACACACACACACACACACACACACACACACACACCTTGATGGGTGTGAGATGCTGAAACTGTCTGTGAGGATGTTGGATGATGTGTTGAGGCTTCGACCAATCACAGGATGAGTAGACGCGTATCTCGTCGTACTGATCTGTGGTGAGTAGCTTGGAGCAGTCCAACGGATTGAAACAGGCTGCGAGGAGACGACAGTAAATGTTTTGTCAACAGTATTTATTTACCACTTGTCATCATAGCAACTGGCATAAAAATCATGGTCATATACTCATGTCAGGGTTTTCAATCTGATATCTTTGTTAACTCATGCAGGAACTACAGAGTATGTTTATGAAATCATTTATTTTACAGAATAAACAATTCAGAAAAGATTTTTTATTAGATTTTACTTTCATTAAAGTTCTATATATTTGGTTGTAGTTGTGCATTTCTGTTGGTGACTATACAATACAGTTCTAATTGTTCTGTAGGCAACATGGCACCCGGTGTATGACCTGATTGTGGCCGGCCGACCATGTTTGCTCAGGTGACCAGAGAACCACACGGTGCACGACTAATTATAAAACTGATTTAGTCCAGTGGTTAAATCATTTGCCCAGTGATGCAATGTCAAAAGTTCACGACTGAGTGAGGACAGGAGCTTTTGTTTCACTGTGAAATTTATCAGGAAACCTGAAAAGAGCCTAAAATTTCAAAATAAGCACCCCCCATAGTAACAGGATGTTATCAGGAAACCTTTTTAGAGCCTAGATTTTCAAAGTAAGCCCCCCCATAGTAACAGGATGTTATCAGGAAACCTGTAATGAGCATGGATTTTCAAAATAAGCCCTCCCCATAGCAACAGGGTCTCTCTCCTTCCTCTTAAATGAAATGTCTCTCTTTCTAGTTCATAATAAGGTTTATGGATAAACTGTAAATTATCCGGCCTCAATTACATACATACATCTTAGGAATTGTTGTCATTTTTTAAAATATATCCAACAACTGGAAATGTCTTAGTGTCTAATATCAGCATCAGTTTCCCCAAAACACATAAGGATGGGCTCTAATTATAGTATTTACTTTTATATGATATATATATTGCATGGATGACATATTGTTAGTCAACAGCCATAAATGATTGCATGTAGGAAAGGCAGGAAAACCACTCTCAAAGCCAGTGTTACCTGAGTTGACAGCCTTTTCATGAGGCAGATCGTGCAGGAAACTCTTCTGGTCCTTTATGTTTCTCAGGTCCCAAAGCTTCACCGTGTGGTCAACTGAGGCCGTCGCCAACAACCAGTCACATCTGGAGTTGAACTCTGCGTGGGTCACTTTGGCCTTGTGCAACTTGTTGCTGAAAATCTACAATGTTGAAATGGAACAAACAGAACACTGGTTATTCTCCTCCTTGTCATGTTGCTCTGATTCGTCTCAGACACATGATTCATCTCTTAGCACTTTTAATAATCAAGTTAATAGACACACACCTTTTGTCCATCCAGTCCGAGGAGTAACAGCTGTCCCATATTGTCTCCTGTCACAAGCATCTGCCTGCTCACAGACACATCGACACAGCAGTACCAGTAACTGTGTAAGACAAACAGGAACAAGGTGAATTCACAAGATATGAGAGCATAAAAACTAATAAGTTTAATAAAATAATAATCACATTTTTTAACTGTGTAGAAAAACTGATGATACACTAGAGAAAATTTACTGATCAAAACTATTTAAAACTTTTTTTAGATAAATATTCCTCTAAATTAATAATAGAATAATAGATCAACTTAAGGACAAAGACATTTTGGAAACACTGATGTTATAAGTCGGCATCAAAAGAACAAAACAGTATCTCTCTTTTCTGGGCATCAGTCTTCTTGGCAGTTTTCTCACCAAACGTTGTGGTGATCATGGCCACAGTCTTGAGTTCTGGACAGTGTGGTGGGTGTGAGGCCCTCAAAGCTGTGCATGCTCAGATTTCCCTCACCAGAGGCCACGTACACTCTGGAGGAGTCTGTGGGGCAAAACTTCATCCCTCCGATAAAGTCTCCTGCACCATTCTGTGCACACAAACACAAATGCAAGCTGATTCCCAGGGCAGTTTTCAGCACTATCGCACACATGCTCAGTGTTAAACCAATAGGGGCCACCTGATAAAAAGACTGATGCCAGATTGATGAGGCCTAAGACTATTTTTTTCATTTTATTCAGTCTTACTTCAGTGTGTCTGTGTTGGCAAACACTGTTAGAGTTGTCCCATTGAAATCTCGTAGTGCGGTCGTACCCCTCATAGACGATGTGAACAGCTGAGTGGGATTTAACTGGTTAAACCTCATGTCTGTAACTGAGTCTCCAGCCCCCATCTAAGAAAACCAATACACGTTTGAAGTCACATAAACCTAAAGGAAACAGTTTTGAGTGAAAGTGTAATTATTTGCTGGCATCAAATGTTAAAAGGCAAATTTAAAAACTAGATAAATACTGTTTATCATTCAGGCATCAGGTGAAACAAACCTCACCAGCTTACAGCAACTCACCCCCTGAATAAAGCTTTTTTTCGTGGGGACCTCATAGTCCCACAGATGAATGTCTCCACCTTTGGAGCCCACGGCCAGAGTGGTGTGGTGAACAGGATTCCACTCCAGACAGGTGATCCTGCGGTCGAAGGGGCTGGTGGCGCTGTGAAAATGATACGACGATAGAGATCGGATGAACGGCTCCTGGAGACACTGCAAGAGAAATGAATTTAAAGCTGCTCAGTGTCTGTATGCAATGACAATATAATAACTATTCAAAGAGAACCGATATACACCTGACTGATGACACAACCTTACACAAAAGGTAGGAGTGGTTCTGATGCCAGTTAAAGTTAACGCATGTTAAGTAATTCATGTTCTTTTTAATAGTTTTTATTCGAACCTCATATTTCCTTTGTATTCCTGGTTGCTGCTTTTCTTTATCATTCATATTATATCTCCTAAATTTTTGTGGCAGATGTGTTGTATTGGATCATATGAAATTGAAAAGGTGAACCTATTAAAGTGGCCAGGAAGAGTGAGTTATTCACATGTAAGGATGTAATAGAAGTAATACCCTTTTTAGTATTGCTTGATTTTTTTGGTTGACTTGTTTGTTTGTTAGCAAGATTACACAAAAACTACAGGACAGATAATCTTGGTGGAAGGATGTGGTATTAGTCAAAGAAGGATCCATTAACTTTTGGTGTGGATCCCGATCAGGGAGCGAATTCAGATTTACTTTTATAACATTGTGTTTTTCAAGAATAATTCATGAATCTTGGTTAAACAATCAGTCATGTTTAAAGGACTGATATTTATGATTGCTGCAATTTGGTGCGGATGAAAATAAAATTCTGGATCTAATGAAATTAAATGTGGTTTCATAAGGGGACGGTTGAACCTCGGCAGAGATACGTCCTGTACTGAGTGTCATGTACTCACATGTATGTGTAATATAGTTATGGATTTACTTCACTGCAGCGTCCTCACCTGTCTCATCTGTGAGTGAAGACTTTGTCCCAGAGTGTTCTTATAAATGTAGTGCAGGATGCTCCCGTGCACGCCTCTCCTCTGGACTCCTGCAAACTTGAGGGGAGGGGGTCCTGCAATAACAACACACAATCAACTGTCACGAGAGGAGTGTGGCTCACATGTGTGACATCTGTATCTGTACTTCCAGAGCTGCACACCTGCTTTAGATGTTTCTCCATCTTTCTTGTCTCGTCGTGTTCTGGAGAGAGAAGGAGCAGACTTCTCAGCGGGTCTCTTCTTCCCTTTCCCCTTCGATTTAGATCCCTCTGAGTCCGCAGCTCTGCTTTTCATTTCCCCTCCTAGAAAACACGACCCTGGTTGTACTGCGCTACACACACAGAGAGCTTTTCGATTATTCGATTATTAATGTACCTGTTCGTACCTGTGATGTTCAGTGGTCAGTGCTGCGGTGGAGAAGCAGGAACTTCAGTGTTTGCATAACGCCGCGCTACACGTGAGGATGTTAATGGCTGCAAATGTTTTGTAACTCTTGTCTTACAGCCCGTGGCCTCTAGGTGGCAGTGCTTATCTACCGACACATCTCATTGGGCGCCATGTTTGTTGTTTAGGTAGGACTACAAACTGACGTCAGGGCAACTTTTACTTGGGGTGATTTATTTTTGACTTTATTACACTAATGGAGACTGAGGAACCAATGAAAGGTTATCAGAAGAAAAGATCACTGATTACATTAATAATTATAGAAGCAAGATATTCATACTTTTCTTAAAAGCATTATAAGTGTGTAACCATTGTAAACACTACTACTATACTACTTCTAATATGATAACAATAATAATAATAATAAATGGTGATGATGATAAATGTATTTGAAGTTTCTTAAGGAGCACATATAATGAAACATGTGCATGTATTTAGTACTGGTGAGTACCAGTTGTAGTGACTAAGTAAACTTTTACTCTAGTTTAATTTAAGACCTGATCACATGATAAGCTTACAAATACCAATATCAGAAAAAATAGCAAATTGAAATAATAACAAACTATATGACTTGTGGGCAACATCGGAAATAAACCGTGAATTTATACTACATGTCATTATTTATAATATATTACGTATGAAACTTCCAGTTGTCATTGTTTGTTGTTGTTGTTGTTGTTGTTGTTGTTGTTGTTGTTGTTGGCCTGTTTCCTGGGAATCTGTTTCACTTTAATTGATGAGCATCAACACATCCGACATCTCTGCACTTTCCACAAAAGGGTCGGAAGTGACACGGAAGCGGAAACACGTATTTGGTGTAGTGAAATCTGATTGGCTGCTGCAGGCTCGTTTTGAAAAGGTCTCGTGATTTGAGGCGGAGGGAAAATTTAAACCTGTGGCAGCAACAGAACCGGTAGAAAAGCACAACAAGCAGCAGGTCACAATGAACAGACAAGCGTGAGTAAACCTTTACCGTTTCATCTGTCTGACCGCAAACACGAACTGCCACGAGCTCGTTAGTGACTCGAGGGCTTTTCTTCAGTTTCCGAGCTTGTAAAGACAATACAAACAAGTTAACTAGCTTAGCTAGTGTCGTTAGCCGGGGGATAACTAGCAGCTCAGCCAGTGGCTCAAAAAAATGCTAACACCAACAACGTATCTCCGGTATCGTAACGTATCTATTAAAGCACCATAAGCTTTTGTTTAATGCCCCCAGAAAGCATTACAGCGTTTTTAAAACGTCTTAATGAATGAATGTTAAACTAAATGTTCTCGTGTCTGCAGCAGACAGTGATTTTGGTTTCTGTGTGTAAATCATAGGTGTTAATGTAGAACAGGGCAATCAAACAAAAGTGTGGTGTTAGTGACTGGGTACTTCACTAGATATTCAAATAGTCATAATAATAAATGTAAACTTAAAACTATCTCAAAACTTACCATGGTGTAATGGTTGCTTTACTCTATCAATAAATATTTCCCCCCAGCAATATATTATTATTATCATTTTTGTTTAGTTTATCAAATGCAATATTAGTACAGACATGGTTGAAACCCCTGACTGTCTATGTTGAGGTCTTCAAATTGTTTTTTTTAACCTTCCTCAGTCTAAAACTTGAAAACTGAATTGTAATTAAATGTGATATTTTAATTTCAGGAAGGGTAAAACCCCCCGCAGGCCTCCAAGAAACCCTCCCAGCAGCCAGAAAGACCCAGTTGGTGTGAGTGTCAAGATTTTACATTGCAAATTGCAGCATTCATTATATTTGTGAGATGATTACTGGGTGTTATGCAAGTTGTAGTTGTAAGGTAAAGCTTGTTAATGATTGTATGTTAAATGTCCAAAAGTTGCAATGATGGAAAAATCACTACATCCCCCGGGAGCACATTTAACTGACATTTCCTCTCAGGTGTACTGTCGTGTACGTCCTCTGGGTGTGGGGGATGAGGAGTGCTGCATTGAGGTGATCAGCAACACCACCATCCAACTGCATGCCCCTGAAGGCTTCAAAACAAACCGCAATGGAGAGTACAAAGAGGTAATAATACCATGTACCTGGGGTAGTTTTTGTGCACCATTTTGTACAAGTACAAACTATTTTATGTATTATTTTTATTTGTCATCATTTACTGTCTAATGTAGAATTTAGTTATTGCTGAGTATTAGGCATAACGCAGCTTTTTCTATGTGATTCACCAACAAGAAAAATATATAATGCCATCCTCGTTATTAATTATAATTATTCAAGTCCCTCTATTTTTCTTCCCAGACTCAGTATTCCTTCAAAAAAGTCTTTGGGGTTTCAGTATCTCAGATGGAGTTGTTTGAGCATGTGGCCAAACCTCTTGTTGATGACCTCATCCATGGAAAAAATGGTAAGAACAAAGACAAACTGATCTGATTTCAAGAATAACAGTAAAGCAGTATTCTGAACAGAACATCAGATTTTCATTTAGTGGTTGGAACACTTCTCCCACCGCACCTCTTTGGTCTGTTTCCAACCATTGTCTGTAAATTTCTGAAACTGATGATCCTACAGTCACTGCATGTTGGATCATCAGTGAGAAATCTGAGCAGTCATCCAGATTTTTATGTCTCTCCATCTTCTGTCATGGCCAGTTTTTTACTCTGCCTTTCAGTAAAAGTAAAAACACATTAGATGTCTGATATGATAAGACAGCACATAAGAATACGTTGTAGCAGGCAGCAGCCCTTTTGCCCACTTAATATCAGATGTTTTGTTGTATTGTACATATGCATAAGCACCAAGAACTGTTGTGCTTGAAGACAATAATTTGATTTTTTGATTGATTGTTGCAGGACTGCTCTTCACATATGGCGTGACAGGAAGCGGAAAGACGTTTACCATGACTGGCTCTCCAGGCCAGGGTGGACTTCTACCTCGCTCACTCGACATGATCTTCAACACTATAGGCCCGTACCAGACCAAAAGATATGTAAGAGAGTTGTACCCAAGAACACGTTGATTATGTTTTTAACCACATAATTTGACACTGAATCTGTATTTATTTGTATGGGTTTATCTTATTCCACCTGCTTATTCAGGTTTTTAAGACAGATGATAAAAATGGTATGGAGATCCAGAATGAAGTTGATGCTTTGTTGGAGCGCCAAAGACGAGAAAACAATTTGCCTGCTCCTAAAACAACTTCCTCCAGGTAAGTCTGTACCCTGGAAAACATCAGTGAACTGCCATAATGTAATGTTTCTCAATGTTATTTGACACGTAACATGTAATTCACAACTTTGATTTCAGACAAAAACTTGATCCTGAAATTGCTGACATGATTAAGCCGGAGGAGGCTTATAAAACAGATGGTGTGGACGAGGACAGCAGCTACAGTGTCTTCGTCTCCTACATAGAAATCTACAACAACTACATCTACGATCTCCTGGAGGAAACTCAGGAAGATGTAATCAAGCCAAAGTGAGTGCAGAAAGTGTAAACTGAGCATAATTCAGAAATAAGAGTATGTAGACAGCATCATGTTTTAACTGTTAAGAACTGGATCACGTTTAAAGTTTTTACAGGTGATTCTTTTATGTCAGAGTAGCTGGACGATGCTATTGTTATCTTTTCTTTTTACTAGGTGGAATGGTGGAGGCACACCTGTGCGCCAGAACACTGAGTTCGTGTATGTGACCAGTGAATACTCAAATATCAGAGTAGAAGCCTGATTTAGATGAACTTTCCCTCTTAAACTCAAATATAGATTGTAAATTCAATGTTGTCAACACTGGAGACATCTCCAAAGATACAGATATGTTCTGTATAGTTTTGATTATTCCTTGGAGTCTAAGATCCATTTGAAAACCAGTTGACAACTAAGACGTTACTGAAGCATTGAGCAGTGTTGTTTAAAAATCTAGGGCGTCAAAATCAATGGCAAATCCTTTACCAATTTTTTACTTTATTTTATTTATGCTTTATCTGCAACACAGAAATCCAAGCAATGTCATACTAATTTAACTAAATGTATATTTAGGCAGAAATGCCAAATAATCTTTAGTTTAAGTCTATTTGTGGTTAGGATCTTTCTTTTTTTAATCTAACTGTAAACTGATTGTATATAATTAGATTTTGGATGTTAATGGCACAAGCAATCCAAAGATGTCATCTGAGCTTAAGGAATTTGTGATTGGCTTTTTTAAACATTTTCTACAAATATATTTGATCAAAAATAATTAATTCAAAAATAAATGGCCTGATTGATATTGAAAATAATCATTCAATGATCACTGAGTCAAATTGAAAAAATTGAATCAAATGGTCAGATCAAAGAGATCTGAAAAAGTATGAATCATAAAATGAATCAAAACCTTTAAATTAGTGACACATTCATTCAGTAACAAAAAGTAAAAATATATCAATACTCAGCCCTAATCAAAAGCCTGCCTGGCAGAGCTGCTCATTGTCACTTACACCAGGTCATGTCTCCAGTGTTGACGAGCATTTCTTCATTTCTAAAAATCATCAGAATACCCCCCTGCTGCTGCTCATAGTCTTGTTATGGCAAAGCTCCTGAATGTCTGTAAACCTGCTGTCTGTTGCTTCAAAAGTCGCTTCATGATTTTTACTGTCCGATAACTTCCTATGGCTGTACCCAAGCAATAATATCCCACGGCGCTGTTCTGAACCCAAATCTGCTGCATGAAAAACGCAGTTTTGCGTTTTCAGTGACTAATGTGTATTTTCTCACTGTAGACCTCCTCAGTCTAAAATCCTCAGAGAGGATCAGAATCACAACATGTACGTGGCTGGTTGTATGGAAGTCGAAGTCAAGTCTGCTGAGGAGACGTTTCAAGTGTTCTGGAGAGGTAACGTCTGCATTTAGAAATGAACGGGGTCAGATTTAAGGGAAGAAGGAAAATACTGCACTGATGATCATAGATGAGACTGACCTGGTATTTCTGGCCTCCGGGTCGGTTCTGACTGGGAAATGATTTAAGTCAATCTTCTCTCTGAGCAGCAGCCTAAAATTGTACAAGTAAAGTACTTGAATTGCATATAAAGATGAAAAAACACATATCTTTTTATATATATAAAGTATCAAAGGCCCTGTTCACACCTGTTATTAATATCCGTCTCGAGAGATGCGAAAAACAGAAGTAGACCAATATTTTTGGTTCATTATCAAACAGTAGTGGGTCAGAAGACGTTAGTCAAGTACATCCTCTCAATGAGACCCAGGAGATATATGGGTTCACATAGTTTAAAGAATGTGACCCATTAGTCCCAGATCTCCTGACTGTGGTCTGAGTGATAGGATCTCAAATGCGTCACGTATGAATTTCTTAGGGTCTTGCATTTAACTTGGTGAACTCTGCAGAAAAGCCTCAAACATCGTTGAAATTTTACTATTTACCTTTACTATGTTTCTACAGGTCAGAAGAAGAGAAAGGTTGCTAACACCCGGCTAAACAGAGAGTCCAGCCGCTCCCACAGTGTGTTCATTATTAAACTGGCTCAGGCTCCTCTCGATGCAGATGGTGACAACATCCTCCAGGTGAGATCAAGTTTCAACTGAATTTCTGGTTCTACAGTTGAGTGCAGCTCTGTAGTTAATATTTTAGATCAATTAAAAGGACTGGTGATAAGAATTTTAAGAATTTAAATAAGTGTTTGTTTGTCAGGATAAGAACCAGGTGACTGTCAGTCAGCTGTGCCTGGTGGACTTGGCAGGAAGTGAGCGCACTGGTAGGACCGGGGCAGAAGGCACTCGTATACGTGAAGCAGGTTTGTTGAGCTGAACAGTAAAGGGATAGTTCACCCAAAAATGAAAATTCACTTATTATCTTCTCTCTGCTATACCGATGGGAGTAAATGGCGACCACTTTTCCAACCTTAAAAAAAAAAAACTACAGAAAAAAAACACAACATGCCTCCATACTGCTCCTGTGGTGTCATCCAAGTGCCCTTAACCCAGACATCCAACCTCGTCTCCGAACTCCATCATTACACCGTGTTTTTAGCCTAAATGTCTGCAAACTCAAACACTTCACTTCATCGGCACTGCGGTGAGTAGATAATGACTGAATTTTCATTTTTGGGTGAACTTTCCCTTTAAGATTTGGTTTTAATATTAGCTGAGATTTAACAACAACCCCCACTTGCAGGTAACATTAATCAGTCTCTGCTGAATCTGCGGACCTGCATTGAAATACTTCGGGAGAACCAGATGTGTGGCACAAACAGGGTATGAATTGTCACACTGAAGTTGAACACTGTCATTTTATTCACTGGTGGACCATTGAGGTAATATAAGTTTTCTCTTCCAGATGGTCCCTTACAGAGACTCTAAAGTAACCCATCTGTTCAAGAACTACTTTGATGGAGAGGGAAAAGTCAGAATGGTTGTTAATGTTAATCCCAAGGCTGACGACTATGAAGAAACCCTGGTAGGCTCATCCCACATTTTACTGTCTCTTTTACTCTTTTAAAGAAAGTGTTTTTTTGCCTGACACACAAACGGTGCTCTGCTTGTGCAGCTGGTGATGCGGTTTGCAGAGATGACGCAGGAGGTGGAGGTAGCTCGGCCAGCAGACAGGCCCATCTGTGGCTTCACTCCTGGCCGTCGTCACAGAAACCAGGCCTTCAAAGATGAACTCTCTCGCAAACTGGAAGAGCGCGGTGGCCCGATAGACAGAGGTGAAGGGCTTACACTGTATAAGTCAAATGCTAAACAAGACTGGTTAATTATGAGACTCTTGTGGTTAAAGATGAGCCTGGTCCATTGTCACATTGAGCTGATGAAAACCATATCTCCAATAAATATATTTATTTTTGATTTGAATAACACAGCAACATGTCAAACCATGGCCAATTGACATTTGGGGCTTTCATCACATTATTTCAAAGAGAATTGGCTTCTATTCTTGTTCACTTATTTGATTTATTTTAACATTTTTCAGCTGAATAACTGACATAACAGGTATGAATTCACATTGAATTAAGACCTTTAATTAAGTCATCTATGGAATGTGTTGACTGTTTCTGCAGACTTGCCCTCTGTTATAAACCACCTGGTGTTCAGCCTCCCGCCTCTGCCCTCCTCTGAGGTGACCGACCCTCATGATGACATCACCCTGCCCAGGCTGATTGAAGCTCTACAGAACAGACACAGGATCAGACAGATGATGATTGAGGAGTACAACAAAGCAGGTGTCTCCTCATTTTACCTCAGACTTTAACTTGTGGCTTTGACGGTTCAGGTTTACTCAAAGTTTGATTTGTTATCGTAGCTCACATTTTTCTCCACATTGTTTCAGCCTTTATGATGAAGTCTACGCTTCAGAACATGGACAGCAACCTAATTTCCAAAGACAACTTTATTCATGAACAAAATGGCAGACTGGTTGAGAAAGACAAAGTTATCCAATCCAACAAGGCAGAGATCGAACGCTTGGAGAAGAAAAACAAGATGCTAGAACTCAAGGTGAGAAACAAACATTCAAACCTCAGTGCTGGTTTATTTACATTAGTTTCTCACATGTCCAACATGCTTCTGTTCCAGATTGACATCCTACAGAAAACAACAAAGACCTATGAGGGCGACAAGCGTTCACTGCAGCAGGAGCTGGAAACCAGAGAGCAGAGGCTGCAGAGGGAGCTTTCTGAGAAGCGACGCATGGAGCAGCGCCTTCATGGTGTTGTCTCAGACACACAGCATAAATGGGAGAAAGAATGTGTGAGTGGTCCTCTTACAACACAGATCTAGCACTCTGTTGTTTACAGGCTTGGTTTTTTTTGTTTAGAAACTTCACATTCCTCATCTTTCTCAGTCGTCATGTGGCAGTCAGTGGTGTTTCAATTGAATATTATGCCTCTGGCTGTGCAGGAGAGACGCGTCAATGCAAAGCAGCTGGAGATGCAGAACAAGCTCTGGGTGAAAGACGAGAAGCTTAAGCAGCTCAAGGCCATCGTGACAGAGGGAAAGACTCCAGGTCGTCCTGATCCTCCGCCACGTCAGACGCAGCCTCATCCTCAGCGCCCTTCCAGAGATGAGCGTCTTCCTGCAAAGAGATCGGCCTCACCTTCACCAATCCCTGTACGTTGTTTTGACGATACTCTTGTTATTAATCATTGTTAGATGCATGGTAGCTATAGTTTGACACATTTCGGTTCCATTTCTGTGTGCACTAATACACTACACTGAACATTACTAATCCTAACCCAATAACAGCTGCATGTCACAAAAGTAAGAAAAACCAATGTCATGAATACATTTGAGTAATTGAGCTTTGAAAATAACTTTCAGTCTCACAAAAAATACCACATAATCCCCAGAAAGGTAGAATGATTTACAAGGCAGTGCGATTTACTACCATCTATGGTAACATGTCATTTTTATGTGGTTTCTATGTCTCCATTACTAACTCAATCTAACTACCTCTGTGCCTTTGTGCAGTCTCCCCAGTTCCCTGTTGATTCTCCTCATGTCAGCCCACTGCCAGGGTCTCAACCTTTCACTGCCACTAGATTTGAAGAGTCAGAGATGGACCCAAGACCCCTCCCCAGAAACAGTAGCCCTTTGTCGATGACTAGCTGCTTCTCCACTCAGGACGACAGTCAGGGTTACCCTTCACCTAGTATGCCCACAAGTACACAGTTTTCAGAAGCCCCTTCAGTGCGCCGGGCCAAGAGGAGAGCTCTGTGCTGGTCTAGAGAGGTGGAAGAGGTCCACTCCCCACCCCCTACGCTCAATCTAGACCTAATTGAGAGAAGCTACAGGGTCAGTGAGTTGGTTACAGGCAGCAGTATGAAGTTGTAGAATGATAACTGGCTTCTGCAATCACATTTTTTTAAGGGTTATGCAGATTTCTTTCAAGTGGAATATTTAACACTGTTTCTGCAATTTGGGTTCCTACAAGTTTCCACAGTCATTTACCAGTTTCATGTCAAGCTTTTATGTAATCATTTGATCAAGGTGCATGATTCTTTTTTCCCCCCCTCTGCTGTTGGATCACCTGTTGATCCGAATAGACAACGACACCAGTACGCCCGTTGCACCGTCGCTCCCGCTCTGCTGGTGGGGAGAAGTGGGTAGATCATAAACCTGCATCCAGCCTGGACCTGGGTACAGTTTTGCAGCCCGTCATCCCCAATGCAATTCAGGTGTCTACACCCAGTGAGAAGGCCCTGTCGAAGTGCGACAGATACGTGTTAACCCACCAGGAGGTAGCCTCTGATGGAGAGATAAAGACCAAACTGATAAAGGTAAGCTAGTCAGTCAAACATCATAGTCATGCAAGCTTTTTTCTTTTTAGGGAACTAACAATTGACTAGGAAAACTGGTTGTATGAGCAGCTGATGATTTTTAAACTTCAGCAATCTCATCCATTTTGTCACTGCTTCTCTGGTTCTGGGACATGAGGATGATGTGAACTCTTCATCGTGTCTGTGATGTCCCTCCTATATATTGTTTACTATATTTGGCAGAATGTCTTTTCACAGTGTATAAAACAGAAAATAGTTTTCTTTGGTTTATGTCCACAAAATATGCAGCTAGTCATTGGCTGCAATCCAGAGACGATGTCACTTCTGTTCTAACCTTAACCTGTCTGACTCACCTCATGTCATCTCTTTATCAACTCATAGAGGAAACACCTGATAACGTGCATGGCATTTTTGTTTTGTCTTTTTTAGGGTGAGGTGCTTAAAACCAGGGGAGGAGGACAATCTGTCCAGTTCACTGACATCGAGACTCTGAAACAGGAGCTCACCACAGTCCCTGGGTAGCTACTCACTGCAGATTAATATGTGTTGATTAACCAGATTTTAAAGAATGATGTTTAACATCTGTCACTGTTTTTGTCTCTGAAGCCGCAAGAGGAAATCTTCAGAAGGTACTCCAGCCAACAGCAATCGAACAGATGGAGCTTGGACTGATGTGGAGACAAGGGTAAGAGGATAACATTGATAAATCTATTACCTACTGTTGCATTTGTGTCTTGGTTTTTTTTTTATTAGATTTGATAAAAAGGTGTTTCTATCACTTTGAACAAACCATAAGAAACTGCTCTTTTTAAAGATACTACAAACAATTATTAATGTCTTAAATAACATAATTAAAACATAAACAATCATGTTTGACGAACAATTAGTCAAATGATAATATTAAATCTGAAACCAAAGAAGAGCTCACAGTCAAGAAGCTGTAACTAGGGACTTATTTTTTTCATGAAATGACTCGATTATTAAAATAGTGATTTAATTTTGTGGTGTTCCATTAATCATTACAGCTGTAACTAGCCATGGCCCAACAATCTCTTAAAAAACCATATTTAAATTAACTAGATACAGATTTTTTATTTGTGCCTAAGATCCACAAATTATACTTTTATAACACTTTGTCTTGCAATGTTCCAGTGGGGAAAAATCTAATGGCTTCTCACTGAGCCCATGTCTACCATGTCTTGCAGAAAATTGTTCAGTAGCTTTGGGGTAATCTGGCTGACAAACGTGCAAACTGACAGGGACGAAAAAACTTCACTGGCATTTTCATAGAGTTAATTCAGTACATCTGTAAGTTTTAACAATAACTGTAATATTGCAGGGTTTCTGAATTATGTTACAGTAGAAATGTACCAAATAACCAGTTACTCACTTTATTTAAACACATGTAGTTTTTTCTGTGTATGGTGTTGTTTGATGTGAGGACGATCTTCTCTATAATCCACCTGTTAAAGTAGCACTCTTTACACAAACACTGTGGGCATAAACCAATTTTCAACAATAGCATTTATAATCATGTGTTGTTACTAATGCATCTTACAGTTGGCAGACTCATTTATTTTGATGTACTAATGTTTCTTGTGTTCAGTGCGCCGTGGCGATGGAGATGAGGGCTGGATCAAACATGGGTCCAGGTTTGGAGCATCTGGGAGTCACCAAGTAAGTCTCTGTCTTTACAGATAGTTTAGTTTTCCTTTACAACACAAAGAAGAGAGTTTCTCATAAAACTGTTCTCTCACAGGCGCAGAAAACCCTGAACGCAGCCGACAGATGCTCAAATGATCACTCCCCCCTCTATATCCTCACCTGGCTGTTGTGCAATAGTCTCTTACTTTTTATATTTAGCTCTAGTGATATTTAAACATTTTCCATTCCTTTTATATATGCAGAAGTGTATAAACATGGGTCACCAAAGCTTTTTCTGTAAAATATTTTATATGTTGTATTTGAACCAATAGAAAACAAGTGTTACTTGATTTGATCAAGGACAGTGGCAGATATTTAGTCACTGGCTGATGAGTCTCTGCACATTTGTGACTTGGCACATAAATTGTGATTGTGAAGCTGCCACAACTCTGTTCTTTGCTACATGTGGTTTCTGTCTCTTGATCGAAGAATTACATTGATCTTCAAGTTTAAAAAATCCAATGCTTTGTGATTTTTGTTTCCTAATATATATATATAATTGTCATCACTACATTCAGGAATAAAATTCCTTCCAAGCACCAGTCTGTTGTTTTTGCGTATATACAAAGACCATGATGCAACATTGTTCTGAACACTAGATGGCAGCAGAGGATAGCAGTCCATTATAAGTCCTGAACATGGGCTCAGTAGCTTTGTAGGAATGACAGGCGTTTGATGCCCTGCAGCAATAAGAAGGCATCCCTCATTGGACAGTGTTCTTTGTGTAAATATAATGTGCTGCAATCCCTAGTGGTGAGCAGCATTGTTGTTAGATTAAACAGTGGTGACTTCACTCTTATTTAGAGGTTTAATGTTGAGTTGGAGCTCTCCAGATTGCAGCAATATTCTCTGTCATATAAACAAATTCTGCATTCAGTTACTTTGCTGAAATTGTTTTCCTGTGCTGTTGCTTGATTAGATATTCATTATGTTAAACGAGACACCTTGTATATAAACCCATATTAAATCTGTGGTTGGCAGCCTTGAGGCAGAGTCAGCTAGGTCCCAGACACTGAAATGTCGGTATGTCCTGGCATCCGACACTTTGTGGTTCTCTGCTTAAGTTTCATAATTCAAGAATAATTATTGATAATTATTAACATTACAGTAATTCATAATTATTAACACTACAGTAAAAGTAGCATCACTACATTATTTCTTAAAGTCTGGCATACATACGAAACAAATTTTGGGAATAGGATCGTAATATTACATCATTGTAGAGGGTAGATATCAGAAGATCAGCCTGTCTGCGTTAAAATGAAGAATGTGGAGCAGCTTGTTAAGTAATATTAAGTAACAGGTTTCACAAATGACTAAATTATTTTGTCTCATCAGCAGCACAATATCACAAGTATCAGGACTTTGAAAACAATATGGAAGAAACTGTCTTTTCTGAACAACACAGGCTTGGAGGAAATAGTATACTGCTGGTCACATCTGGGGGATATGCAGTTTTGTAGTTTTTTAAGTCACAGTGAGATTGCTAATCAAGAATTTGTATCAAGGAGTGGAGCACAGGTTTTACTTGCTTTGTTTTTTTTTTTTGTGAATAGATTTTTCCTTTATTCTCATAATTTTTTTCTCTAAGTCTCAGATCTTCATTTTTTTCTTCTAATTTGTGGCCCTAATCCTCTGGTATTCATAATTTAAATTTCGTAGAATGAGCAGCTGATAGTGGTCCAGTCATCCAAGCTTTGAGTAGATGGTTGAAATCTCATCCACCACCAGTCTGGCTGGCTTTCAATTGGAAAGCACTGGAGAGTGACTAACATGGAGCCTCTTGGAGAGGGTCAAGAGTCCAGAGCAACCAGTGGCCATTAAATTCACTCCTATGAGATATTGAGTGCTTTGCTTTTTGACCAGGCTGTTTGATGTGCTGCACCACACTATTATCCCCAGCTTCTCACTGCGAGCCCTCCACAACCGAGAGGCACGGGCATTATGAAGATGTTATTACGAAGCTGCTGTCGAGCCTCTGATCAACATTACCAGACTCAAAGAGACACTTGAGGGAAATAAATGAAAACTGCACACAAAGGTGAGCATGAAGCACAATCCAAGACTTAAAGACAACAGCGCTCACTCATCCAGCCGCTCAGGAAGAATACATCACTCTACAATTCAGGAGTTCAGGCTCATGATTATGCAAGTACCGCTTATAAGTGATACTAAACTTGCTGGAGGGAATTCTGATGTTCTACTCAAATGCACACAGTCAATTAGACCATCTCATATTTTCAAAGAGCGAGCATAATTGCAATGTTTTATTGACTCTTTGCTTGAATGACTCTGATAAAGAGGTGTTGCGCTGCCTTTCCACACATGAAGGAGGAAATTCTTTGCACTTAAATTTATGATGCTAATGAGGGGTCAGTCAAAGTAGCACTGTTTTACATTCAAATAATCAGTTTAAGTTTTATCTGATCATTATCATATTTCCACTTTCATAACATTAGAAAACAAGCATTGAACATAACTTAAGTTGATTTGAGGAAGCAAACAGATGCCTGTGTAAACATCCTGCAGACACAGATCATCAGTATTCATTTGGCGTTAGTTCAACATCTCTTTTTAGCTCTGTTTAGTCTCTTCAAGTGGCTTTAAAGTAGCCATTTTGTTATGATAAATTTGACTTGAGCCGCAGGGCCATGACCTCTCTGTGCTTACATGATTTACATGCTGTGCTGAGTCCGGCTGTGAAACGCGGGCATGGGTTTAAATAGGTGCGATGAAAGTGTAACCCTATCCTGCACAGCTCTATACTTGGCTGTGTGGAGGCATCTGAGTGGTGATGGTGGTTTCAGTTGCTTCCAGAGCTGCACCATATCAACTGAGTGTTTGGTGATTTGAAGGGCACATCGAAGCCAGCGCTTCCATCCCAGCCACAGCTGTCCTCTAAATCAGAGCCCATTACGAGGGTTTCTGCCGTCTCTTAGTGCGGAGAATAACAATCCCTGACAATGAGTCAATTAGGGGGAAACACGAGTAAATACTGCATGAGAGCAGAGCCATTCCAAAGCAAAGCTCAGAGCAGGAGCTGTGCGCTACATCTTCATATGTCAAGGCCGTGGCTGTCTGCCAGCTAAACGTGTTGGGCCAGAAAGATATGCGAATGCAGATGAGTGTTGACAGCCAGTCAATTGTCATTCAGCCCATCTCCCAGCCTCTTGGGACTTGTCTAGTTTTTTCTTTTTTTGTGTGGCTCCTCTTCACTGCTTGCTCACCTCACGCTCCTGTGCCTTAATGCATGCTAACAGGCACAGCGGCGGCATGAGGCTCCGTGTTCAGTGTTAATAAGAAGTAAAAGCTCCCACGCTCGCTTTTCTGCCGGTGCCGTTGTGACGAGCAGATGGGTCAAAGAGCCACAGACTCTCAGAGACTCCCGGGGGTAAAGTTTGGTTGGTTTTTTTAGCTGTTTAGAAGCACGCTGAATGAGAATTGCTCTGACCCTTAAGCACCTGTGATTAGTTGTTCAGAACACCTCATCCCATCTGCTGCCTCCTCCTCCTGCTCTGCTTTGAGTCTATATTACCTCTTTTACATCAAACTTTGCGGGTTCTGATTTTTTCCCCTGGTGCATCATGTCCAATGTCACCAACAAGCCAGAAGCTGAGAAGCTCTCTCACCTTGCTGTCTTGCCAGTGTTGCATCTTGCATGATATGAAGAGAAAAAAATCCCCGTTGCACATGATGTCAAAGATGTAAAAAAAAAAAAAACATTAAGTACACAAAGCGTTATAGTTATTTACACACCAACGCCCAGTGCATTATGTCCCACGTCACGAAGGCAACCTGCTGTCTAGCGCGTTCACCTGGGTATCACATTTCCATCAGTGCAGTGATTAAAACCTGATTGTAACTTCTGATTGAATCCGTTTCCATTGCAGACAAAATCCAGATGTTAGTGGGTGTCAGTGGGTTTTTCACTAGTGGAAAAGGGGCTATCAGAAGGGACATGTCTCACCTTTATGATTTCTTACTTTATGCAGTTAGTGGGTTTTTTTTTTCTTCTAAAATGACTTCAACAGATGTCAAAGCCGTTTCTATGTATTTTATTTCCTTGTGTCAAAGTTATCATTTCAAGCTCAACTTGTATTGAGGAACTCATTTGTCGGGGGGCTTGTTGCTGTGGTTACCCACCAACACAGAGTTGACCTCTGACAAACACAATTGGGGTCATGACTGACTTCTTATTGAAAATATTGGAAGCCATTGTTGTGTAGGCTCATTATAGCCAAATTGGGCTGGATAGTGTTTTTTCCTGTCTGTCTTTGTTCTTGGCAGCCCACTAAGTGTTTGCAGCTGTCAGTTGAGTGTATTCTCTTTGCCCAGTATATGTGGCTTGGCTGCACTTTAAGCTGGCTGCGTCCTTACTCCTTACCCTGATGACAGTATGCCATGACTGATTTCCGTTGACTCACTTTCATTTTAACCGCAATGTGTCCCTCGTAGAAACATCGGACTGCGTTCTCTCTCTTTTTTGTCCTTTTTTACAAGTTGTTGATCTCATCTAGTTAACGCTGCGGCGTAACCAGGCTTTGCGTGCAGTTGGCTGATTATTTAAGTGGCGCTCTGAGCAGTTTGCTGATTAAATGAAAGGCGAAGAGATGCCAGAAATGATTGTACTGACAATAGTACAATGCAGCGTGGTGTACAATGACTAAACACTTATTGGATATAGAGGACATTTACTCAACTTTTTTCATATCACATCAATCTTTTACGAGTACAAAGAATAAATGAGCATTAAATACACCTATTAACCTGCTTAACTGATATCTGAGGCCATGTTTGCAACAGAGAGAAGAAGAATGGTATTTCAAACCTTTGTCCTGCCAACGCTTTCATGCAAATGACTCACACTGGAACCAGCTTATCTGTGAACAATCATAGGTGGCATTTGGAAGAGGGTGAATGGGCACCACATGATTTTCATATCTGCAGAAAGCTCAGTCAGGTCCCTATACACGTACTCCCACACAAAAAAAAAAAGCAAACACAAAAGCCGCTTTGAACGCACACATCAGCTGTTTATCTTAAAATAGTCCGCCACACTGCTGCTCTGATCCGGTACCTTGTACGCTGCACTTTGTAAATGGTGGGCAATTACACACGGTGCATTAGGGAGTTGTTATTGAATTCATTAGATATGGCTAAGTTGCAAAGTTCATTCATTTTAATAAAGCAGCAACTTTTATCGCACAACACCAGGTATGAGTATCAAGGGTGAGATTACAGCAGCCATGTGCACAAATAAGATTAGAGCACTGGCTGAGACTGCTGTTGACAAGGTGAAAAGGGACGGTCGTTCCAAGAAGCAAAAACACACTGGATGAATGTGGGTTGATATAATTCACGAAGCATGCTATTTTCATGGTGTGTTTATCCACATGATAAATGGCTGCACATATTTGCATTTGAACATTACCTGAGGAACACATCTGCATCAGCCTTACTGGATACTAATGATCCGGCGCATGCCTAATAAACTGAGCTGAGAATTCAAATGAGGCTCAACCTGCCTGTGAGGCTAGCT